CTCTTATTTTATTGCCAAAATGAGTCCAAGTTAATTATATCAAGGACAGTATCGATCCATCCAGGATTATGTATATAATTCTATTTTATGCTAAAGATTTATTCTTTCATTAAGTTTATTTTAGTTTAACAATTAGATTTTGCGAACTATATCAATGCTGTTTATTAAATTCCGTGAAAGCAATAGTAAACCTTTCAGTCTAAAAGGGTAGAAAATTAGATACATTGATCGTTATAAAATCAATAACAAAAGTATGTCGCGATGTTGAAATCAATTTCATTAACTTCAACTCTCAGAAATATGAACTTTATAACGAATTGAACAATTTAAAACAATTTGAGACAATCTATTTCCTATCCAAGTTAATAAGTTATAGCTTCATCTATTCCCAGAAAATGACGATTCAATTTATAAGGCAAATTTTTTTCTTTACAATACTGATTTCAAATGTTACACATGTAACAACACATCTTTCATTAAGTTATGAGTGTAGAATGATTGTAGAATTTTAAATTTAAATCTCAATAGAATAAGACTGTATATTAATTATTCAAATTTAAGCGAAATGTCTGGAAATACAAATTGAAAGTAATTTAGCCATACTATACTGATACAGTTATATTAGATGTTTACCGGAATTTTACTTGCACTGAGCAAAGATCAATCTTAGCATCATTAAATCTAATCTTCAGTCATAATAATTAAATCCTTATTACATGTAATTAGTAAGTAAAGCGCTGAATTGAATAAAATCTAATCATATTATTAAGCATAGGATTAGATTAGGTAGTTGTACTTTATTGTAGTTTGATTGCATAAAAAGAATATCATAGTTTCGTATATCCGAGAATAAAGCGCATAGTATGTGCTACTCAGATATAGATCAATCATCACGGCATATTTATTTGAATTTAAAATAATTTAAATTTAAATTCATGTGGTAATCTCAATAGTATACTAATCGTTTTTATTACTTTGTATTACGCGATAGGTAGTGTTAAAATTTAAAATAATAAGACAGTTTGAGACATAATCGGTACAATCTTATGTTAATAGATGAAAAAATGTCGTCTAAAGTACCTGGCTGGCATTAATTTAATAAGTCATTTTGAAGATGATACGCTACAAAAGCAAAGTAATCCTATCTATTGACGATGGAATAAAAAGCTATTGAATGGCTGCGACTTTAAAACACCTGTGATTTCCATCAAAGACAATCATATGGTTTATCCAAAGATTAAACTATCTACTTCCTCTTTCATTATCTTCTTATTCACTCTTCTTTGTAGGCATTAGCCGAAAATGTGGATAGACGACCACATTTATTGTAAATCAACTGAAGTAAAAAATCGACTTGGATGGATACCAATTCTAATACCTAAACTATATGTAAGCTAGTACTCAAGCTAAAATTTTGCCTTAAAACTCTCACTTGACTGATTGTAGTCATATTTTTATAATCAATTCAATATTGCTTAGATAAGCTTTAAATCACTATGGATAACCAGCCAAGCATGATGATGACTTAGTCTAGGATAACATTAGCAGAATAATAATTTCATTAATTCCATTCAAAACAATAGCGTGCAGGTAAATAAAACGTTTTATGTTTTCTTAATCGAACATCTTGCTGGAGACAGCAGAAGGTCAAGGCTCTTGCCTAAAAAAATCAAAGCGTGCGGTGAAAGGAAAAGTATATACAGTAATCAAGACTACAGAATTGACATGAACAATTTCAAGGAAAGTCTTTCATTCATCTATCATAGTCAATGAAAAGATTTATCATTTGTATATAATAAAACTCTTTATCCGCATATTCATTTATAAATGAAAATCTTCTTATCATTCAAAAATGAAAAAAGAAAACTGCAATATGTTTCTTAGGTTAAACAAGCAAGAAAATATTATTGTATCATTTCTTTCAATTACTTACTGGTTCTTGTATAATTTTAGAAAGAGGATAGATTGCATTAGCAATATCTATTATTTGATTTCTTTCTGCTACTCTATTTGGATTAGGCTCTTGGATTTGTTTTAGTTTCCTATGCAGCAGTAGTTGGTGTAACTGTCTGAATATATAATAAATGACTAGGCTTAAATTAGCATTTCGTCTACAATATATAATAATCAAATGACTAAGCCAGGATTATCTATGACTAATAAATCTATTGATCATATCGAAACAGAGAATTAATTTGTCAACGGTATTGATTTACCAATTGATGGTCTATAATGGCAATTTAATCGGATCATTTTTATTATTGTCGTTGTTGTTGTTGTTGTTGTTGTTAGATACTTTGAAAGCTATCCTTTATTCTGACGATCGTCACTTCGTCAGGGTACGTCTGTTTTGTGTCATTTACATGATTAATTTATTTCATTTCTTGAAATCCTACTCATATATTATAATTTTTACATTATTAATTTTATATATAGATCATGATGATGTGTCAGCTTTTTAGTACTGATTTGATTTCAAACCAACTGATATAAAACTCATTTATTCAACGCTTCATAATTCATTATTTGATTTTACATAAAAATTTAAAAAATACTGTATGCGTGTATTTTGTTTTAAAATACAATAAAATGCGAATATTTTTTACTTCTATATAGAAGTTGAAACAACTATCTGTACTTATAGCGTTCTACATTATTGCTTATAAATTTGAAACTGATTTTCCAATTGTATAATCACGCCATAAGGGAATAGACATTTCTGTATGGATTTTAATAAATGTTAAACGTTTAAAATTTTCTCATTTCGTTTTAAAAATCGATAATCGAAGGAAAGACGCAATATTATGGATTGATTCAACACCCTAAAATAACGATGATTCCTTCCTTATGTCTAATGATAATGACATTCTAATCAAATGGATAAAGTGAAAATTTTTTTACTTTACTCCCCCTAACGTCTGTTGGCATCAGATTTTCATCCAAACTGCTCCTATTGTTATCATGTATCAGGGTAAACGGAGAGTTAATATTAGTATCCCACCTTAGCTCTTCAATAGATTAAAAATAGAGATGGGAAGGATTGCTTTATTAACTCCTATGTACACAACATATGTAACCTTTGTCGATGATAGGGGCTATGACTTTCATCTATAAATATAACTATCGTATTTCAGAATTGTAAGCCTGCTTGGTCAAACAGGTAGAAAGCTGTCATATAGATGTCGCGCCTCTATAGCCAACAAAAAACTGTGACATAGAGCATTATATATAAATACTGTAGACTATATACATACGTATTAAATTAATATAGAATGCTACTATAATCTATTTAAGAACTATCCTTATAGAGAGTATTATCAGAAGTAGACGTAAACAGATACGGTATCGGTATATATGATTATTCCATTGAAAGAATAGCTACGATAGAAATTGATATACTGTATTTAGCGCCCTATTAATCACAGAGAATAGAAAAGAAAAACGCAAGCAAAATTATTCAATTTTCATTTGTATAGATAGATATAATAGACTTAGTAGTCATTAGTATATTAGTCTATATCCCACTCTTGGCCAATGCTCTAACCCATGCTGGTCTATGCTATTGATTATTACTAATTCATTTAATTGGTCTAAGGACAATTCGACAAGTTAAAAGGATCGATTTTACAACACGACAAGATTGCCTTGACAGCAGCCATAGCGAATTATTCTCTACATCGATTCGATTAACTATCCACGTGTTTGCATTCCAGTAGTAAGTAGCCACTAGCCATAACTACAATCATCATAATTGATAATTAAAGTAAAGTTATCCATTTAACGTCTATCAGTTAATAGTAGATAGATGTCCTCTATGTTTAATCTGATCAGCATCAAAAAATTTGAAAAAAGTATAAAAATTATGATGGTGACAGTCGATAATCGTCATGACACTACGTCTGTTGTGTCATAACAAATACTCTTACCTACCGATTAAAGAGGTCAACAAGGTTTTATTGCGTTAAAGCTGATATGCATAGCCACAGTGATATACAATTATAGTAATGGTTAAATCATTTTAGCTCATTTAATTATGGTAAATTGATCGTTTTTATTTTGAAAATTAGACTTTGGATTTGTAATAAAATATTTATTTCTGCAGCTTATTATTGATTATAAAATATGGCCAAAAATAATTTTGAATTAGACATCCAATTGATAGCTAATTTAACTTATTTTAAGATACCAATGTACATGCTCGTTGATCTGTACTTACGTTTATTTATCAACTTTCGGGAAAGAATATTATAGTGTATCTGTCTAGTTTAATCTTAACAGTACTTGCATGGAAGTAAGCATTCACTTTATCAATCACCTACTATCAGCAACTAGTATTCAACTTTGATTTCAAATCGTCTATTTCCAAACTGCATAATGCATTACTTTGATACCTCCTGTTTATGATATAACATGGAATTTGACTAGAATTAGATATTCACATGATTTCATAGATATGATTTTTACTTTCACTTTTTTCAATCAAATTACTTCTATACATTGTAATAAAATAAATGAAGTTGATAGGTATAGCTAATTTCAGTAGCTTCTTTATATTTTTTGACATTTTAACTTTTCGAACATATGTTTCAAAACGTTTATGGCGCCGTTAACAATTTTCTTAATTCAAGCAACAAATGCATACGATTTATTACGTACTATTTCCGTTATAGATTTTTAAGGTTTTCAAATATCAAGACTTATAAAATACATATTACATTACTATCAATAAGTTGGATTATTACCGTACTTACGTTCATATCAATGAAAAAATTAAACCGTCCTTAGATTTCACTTAAAGTTATAATGAGGATCAAATATTAGCAAAATTCGCACATTGATATTTGATTAACTCCCTTGTTCCAAATCCATCCTTAAAATTGAACCTTATTTTATATCTTTTTTTTAACTTAAAAAATTTGAATAAATATAATTATAAGGTACCCAAATTAAACGTATCATCAATTAATATCTTTCCTTTTAGTCGATGGTATTGCATTGATATGCAATCGGAAAAAGCAGATTTTGGTGAATTAGAGCATTACCTAAAACCGGTTGAATCTATTTTTACTGGCGATGAACTGCTTGAAGATACTAGTGAATTTATCATTAACAATATAGAAAATAAGCGTTTCCAGGTAGGACAACAACAACGCCAAAATCATCAGCAAAGACAACAATTGCAACATCAAGTTAATTACGATGATGCTACAAGATTATGGATGTGGAATAATCATACCACTAGAGGAAGAAACGAGCATAAAAGTCAAAATATGATTAATACTACAACCAATTATAATCATTTTGCAGTTGATTCCAATTCAAAATCACCGTATTCTAATTTGAATTATTCATCATTTACACCATATCATCATTCACTTGATTTAAGTGGACGTTCACCATTACAAGTAACAACTGTTTTATCCAATACATCAAATCATTTATTGCAGCAGCAACAACATCAGCAACACCAACAACAACCATCAACTCAACAGCCAAATCACCATTCAACAGTAACATTAACTAACTCTAAAGACAAAGATGTATCATTAGCCAACAATCATCATTTTAAAACAAAAGTGAGTAATTTATTATAAATACTAAGAAAGAGAAGAGTAAGAGAGAGAGAAAAATAGAACCGATTGGATTAATTTATTTATAATAAAATGTGATTATTGTTATAAAATTGGTCTATGATTAACTAAGTTATATGTACACTTTTTATTTCAGATTACAACTTCAACATTTACTCTTTCTGAAGCTGAAAGTGATCTTTTATCAGCTCAGCCAATACAACAACAACAATCCATGCAAGAGGATAAATCCGATGATACCTTATTAACAGCTTACTTTAGTCATGATCACGATAAACATTCTGCGATGATTCAACACGCCAGTCCAGCAACAACCGACGAAAATTCAAGAGATTCACCGGAATTAAAACGAGCTAAGAAAACTTTAGTTCCAGATAATTGTAAAGATACGAAATACTGGGCAAGGAGGATTAAAAATAATAAAGCAGCTAAGCGATCACGAGATGCTCGAAAAGAGCGTGAAACAAGAATTACTCAAGAATGTCAAATGTTAGCTGAAGCCAATTTAAAATTAAAATCTGAAATTGTGACTTTAAAGAAGTTATTAAATGATGCTTTAGCCAAGCAAAATGTCCTTCAAGAACAGCAACAGCATCAACAACGTTAACCTAAAAATATTTAGCAATGAAATAGTTAATGTAAAATACGAATTTAGGCTAATCTACCTAGAAATGATAATAATTTTTATGTCTGTAAAAAAAAATGAGCGCCACAGATTTATTTATTACTACCCGATAGCATTTTTAATTGCAACCGTTCTTATTTATCAATTATTGTCTAACGATTTCCAATGTTGCAAGTCTACTACTACCTATGCATTAGCTCTATTCTATAGTCGCTTATACATCAAAATGGGTGTTATGATTTTAACTCTAGTAAGACGTTTTTGAAAGCTTTTTAGACTATTATCAAATCGATGGCTAAAATTGATCGCTAGCACTAGCAGTATTCCAATGAATTATGTCAATCAAAATTATTACACTTTATTATTCTAATTCAATGATATCGTCTTTTCGTCTTTTCATTTGTTACTTCATACCGATGTCTGGTTATAATCATTGCCGGTGCTGCCATTTCTATTTCAAGCTATTCTTACGTTATATATTTGTGTTACTTATACTAAGATCACTAATTTATAATAACGTTGATAATTATAATTGCTTATCATTCACGAAAATATCTTGCGAGAGCAATTGATTGACCCCTAGTTATGTTTAAGCTCTATACGTAAAATTGGCTGTTCGCTTTGGTGCATGATTCAATCCCTTTTAATCCATAACTCATTCCTTGGATGTTGCAATATTGTTTTAGAATGGATTAAATTAGCTGATGATGAATGGCTCAGAATTAATGGAGATACCATCATTATCAAGAAATTCGACAATAACTATTCGATTATCATATTAATGATATCTTAACGATGATGTGCAAGTTCATTGAGAATAGATTAATACAAATTTTGAAGCTACAATTATGTAATGATTTGATGTGTTGCTATTCTTCCTCTCTCTCTTTCTTTGTCATTGTTATATATTACGATTAGACTTTAAGGTGATTATTATGATCATTACTTCCATTGATTAGTTTGTTAACCTATGTCTATCAGATTATCTATCAAGAAATATTAGTCTTGTTTAAAGTGGTTGATATGATATCTGTCTGTAATGTTCATATTCATTATTAGGAATACCTCTACATGTGTTCAATATTGACCTGTTATCAGCGATAACTGATGCTATAGTTGCTATCTTCAATTATAAATTCTCGATTTAAATACCTTATTAAAGACATCATGGATGCTATTAATATGGGAAATTAATAGCTCGTATAATACAATTTCATATCGATTTTCAATAGAAGCTAGTTAAAATTGTCGATTCCTGCTAAATTAATTGTTCCTCACAGTCAATCAAATTTGAAGCTGATCATGATCGAAATAGATGATATTGAACTAGCAGAGATCCTTATCATTTTAGACTATATATTAGATTCTGTGGTAGAGTTTGTAATTAATGGATTGAAAATGCTTTTTTGGCACGTTCGAACGATCATATTGATTTTATAGATATGTCATGAACCGGTGGTATCTAAGTGCATAGAAGATTGCTTGAATGCATTATATAATTGAAATACTATTTCTAAGGTCGCATCTATGAGAATACGTATACTCGTATCTTGCTACCCAAATTCTTATCGTGTTATGTTGCAAGGCGGATAATCATTGTCCATAATTGTAAGCATAACTTTAATTGAAAATTTATTGAGAAACTAAATGTTGGAATTTTCCATATTGAACTTGAGAGTAAAATATCATTGATCCGAAATAATGTCCGCAGTAGATATTTTGCTTGTTTTAGTTGTAATCATTCTCATCATTGACGCGTTCACCTTACAGTTACAATAATAATTTGTGCGTTAATCGAGGTTAAGAGATTAGCGTTACTGTCTATTTCTGCTTTTAAGACTAGTAACAAGATTCCTTCAGTACTATGATAACTTAATGTTGGCTATAAAGTGCCGTTGACATGCAGTACAGCCCAACTAATAATTCATTAATCAAGCTACTGTGTTGTGCATTATCAGTATGCAATAGTCTACAGAATGTACACTTGTACAGTACATACGGCGTGGAAGTAAGGCAATTACTGAAGGGGAAATTGCTTACTATCAACGAATTTGCAGTAAACTACCCTATCGATCCTCTTTATCCTATAGAGATGGAAGAAAGTGTTTCCCTACGTATTTATCTTGTACGCTAGACTTTACTTTCTCCTACTATACAACTGTTAGGGGTGTCAGAGGTTCGTTTGCCTTTGTCGTTAATATTTCAGCAAAAGTGCAAGCATAACTAAGAAGTTCGGACCTATTGCTGTTGTGATTAACGTATTCGATTTGAGCAGCCTGTGATAATTATAATCTTAGGATGAGTCATTTGAGATTTCTTTGCACAAATAGTAGGAACAGCAACAATTCCTTGAGTCAAATACAAGGGCTACTAGGTAGCCATCACGGCACATACATTACCGATGTACACTTTGGCATACAGTGAACAGCTTGCCATAGGGTCGCATGTAGAGGAAGGAAACAAATAGATCATCGTGTTCAAAGAGACTTTCCTGTTTGAATTCTATGTTATCGACTGGATTCAGTCAAGATAGCTATTACGTTTTCGTTTCCTAGTTAGAGTGTGTACAACACTGTTGAGATAGAGTAATTATTCATATCCAGACTTGTCGATCTGTCAATATGGTCTATGCAATTGATTTAGTTAGGAAAAATTCAAAATTACGAACGAGTAAGAAGATAGTCAGCACTGTTGAGATAGAGTAATTAATCATATCCGGACTTGTCGATCCGTCAATATGGTCTATCCAATTGATTTCTTTAGGAGAAATTTAAAATTACTAACGAGTAACAAGATGGTCAGCACTGTTGAGATAGAGTAATTAATCATAATCATATCTAGACTTGCCAATCCGTCAATATGGTCTATGCAATTGAATTAGTTCGGAAAAATTCAAAATTACTAACGAGTAGCAAGATCAAGTCCAATCAATAACTCTGATTTTCCTAGCTCCCTCTCTCTCTCCGCCAAGCTTAGCTTGCATAGCCTTTGAAATACTCTACTGACTATTTATTCAATCCTATTCAAGTACAAATTGCTGGATTACCAAGACAATTACACTCAATAAAGACCTACATCGAAATGATGATAGCTTAAGACTAGTGTTTATCATTCCCTTAGCCATCACTACCACAACATGAATATAACACAGTGTAGTAAAAATGAAATAGTTCACAACAGTATGTAGTACTATGCATGTAGTAGACGAGAAAATATTGTGTGGGGGGTCGCAAGTTGATAGGATTCATTGACTATAGCGTATAATGGACATTGGACCATGCCAACATGGAATTGACTGTATAGGAGGCATGTTGGTCAAACTAGTAGCAAGATTGAAGAGATTTTCCTTTGTAATTTACACTTCTCATTGAAGATGTGCTATCCATGAAAGCGTTTTACTGCTGGTAGTCTATAGACAACTATCGATCAGTTTAGTCCATTTTTTGACCAAAGGCAATTGACGTCCAATGTCCAAAATCTAGGCAAACTACAACTGTGCAGTTGTTAAGATTACGTATATACTAACGGTGTCTCAAATAGAATGGAAATTTTTAATATTACAATACCATATTTTCATATTTTATTGTCCACTGTATAGCACAGCACAGCACAGCAAGTAGAAATTCAACTCGGATTTTATCAAATGAAATAAGAATGCTCAAAATTTGTGGATTTTATTTTCATTTTTGGATGATTGGTAGCAGATCCACCAGACCTTCCACTTTTGACACGTATCAAATGAGAAGAATTTTGCTGCAAAAATGAACAAATCAAGTCAGATAACAGCAAGTAGAAATTCAACTCAGATTTTATCAAATGAAATAAGAATGCTCCAAGTTTGTGGATTTTATTTCATTTTTGGATGATCGGTAGCAGATCCACCAGACCTTCCACTTTTAACACGTATCAAATGAGAAGAATTTTGTTGCAAAAATGAACAACTCCAGATTACAGTACTGGAGAACTGGTACACGCTGTACAGTACACAGTACAGTACAGTATTGTATGCGCGTAAGATACTGTAGACTGTAGACTGTAGTAGTACCGTCCAGTATGCAAGTCACTACGACTGCAGTTGTAGCAAAGAAACGACTACTACGTCAATACCAATACTATGAAATATTGTAGGTCCAGTAGAACATCGGGAGTCATGAATGATTCAGTACACTGTAGTACGCATATTTTGCATACTGTACAGTGTACAGTAGTGTACTGTGCACAATCAACGCCATGCCCTGTACTGTACAGTACAGTACTGTGTTCACATACTGTACTGCATTGGACTGGTACTGTACTGGATAGTATCATGTTACGTAGTTTGCCCACTTTTGGGGAATGAAAGAAATACGCAGGTGCATTCTGCCAGGAGCGGAAGTGCGCATCCGCATTGCGTTGCATTCCGTAGTTGACACGGCACCAACAAACGGTACCTTCTGAACAGTACACTGTTCAGTGCAGTATCCATGGAGTGCAGCATGTTAACGTTGGACTGCTGCTGTAGGCGACATATATGACATATATATATCGATGTAGATATGGATACGGATATGTATAGACATCTAACATCTATCTATATTGTCCATATGGCTGTACAATACAGCATACTGTACGTGTACAGTATTGTATAACCAGCGAGTCAGACTAGTACAGAGACCAGACCACAACAACCTCCAGGCACTACCATAGTACACACAATTGGACCTGACACAGTACAATGATACTATTGGACGTTCGCTCTACTGAACCGTACCGAACCGTACTGTACTGGACGTAGTAAAATGCTCCATACTGTACAGTGTACAGTACTGTACACTGTACAGTTGCATAGCATGTACTGTACAGTATTGAAACAGCAGTTGTGGAGGTCTTGATGGTCTAGTCCAGCTTCCTGAACAGACCAGACCACAACAACCTCTAGGCACTACCTGTCTCCTCGACAGTGCACAGTGTACAGTACACCACATGGTACTGTACACTGCGTACTCTACACTCAGTGCCATCCATCGACCCAAGGAGAGAGAGAGAGAGTCCTTGGGTACTACAGTACTGTACAGTACTACAGTATAATGAAACAGCAGTTGTGGAGGTCTTGATAGTCTAGTCCAGCTTCCTGACCAGACCAGACCACAACAACCTCCAGGCACTACCATAGTACACACAGTACAACGATACGTTGGCTCGACTGAACCGAACCGAACCGAACTGGACCGGACTTATCTCTGCAGTCTCCTCGACAGTGCACAGTGTACAGTACACCACATGGTACTGTACACTGTGTACTCTACAGTACACTCAGTGCCATCCATCAACCCAAGAGAGAGAGAGAGAGAGTCCTTGGGTACTTAACTGGCTGTTGGCCATGAATGAATTATTGATGTTGCCAATTTCAAGATGGGAACATTGGCATCCAAATACCCCCAACCGTAATAGTCTTGTCAATCTTGGACTGGCTCCATCACCAGTTGTTCAACCGTGGATTGAATTCATTTCTTGCTTGTTGTAGACGATCGGCACATCTTTGTACAAGTAGCGACATCGACACACTTCCACGCCAGGAGGATAGTGCCCATCGATTACAATCCATAATTGTTATTATTATTATTATTATTAAGGTAACCTTGAACAAATCTCTCGACTAGCTTGCCGCTGTGCAAATGACCAATCTGCAATGTGCAAGAGAAGACATGCAATAAACCAACATTGCTAATCCAACAGACTTATTGAAGGTAGTCATAGCTATTCAGTCAGTAAATCAACGCCGATTACCTTCTACTCGGCTATAGCCAGACATCACTTGACCGAGCTATCCTTCAAGGGTACAAAGATTCAAGTCATTGATTACATTAATCCATCATCAACAGCAAGAAAGAATCCATTGGCTTTGGATACCAATTGGGTCCATTGATGAAGTAAATTGTCAAGGTTGTAGATCCAACGATCGTTTCAATTCAATTGTATCCACGCCATGCCTTTTAAAAAGATTAATATCCGCAATAGTTTACGACGTTTTGGCCAACGGCGTAAAAATGACAGTGAAAATTGCAGCCCTCCAGATGCCAATGGACGACGTGACAGCATTAATCCACCTGAAGAGAATTATTTCGCCATTTATGTTCATATGTTAAACGATGAAATTTGCAAATTCGAAATTGAGAATAATGCCACTGGTCATCACTGCATGGCTAAAGTAGCTGAATCTTTGGAGTTAGAAGAAGTAAGTCCAAGTCGATATCGATAGCCTTGTAGCGTAGTCACTCGCATACCTGATTGGATACATAGTATACAGTAGATTGACAGTTGGGCACAATTTTATAAACAACCGATAGCTAGCCTTTAATCAATCCAAAAAAAAATAAATGTTAGACTGTAATACTGTCGATCAACGGCTGAAATACGATAGACATCAAGCGAAGAATTAGACGACTTGACTAACTGAGTGAGCCAGCTAAGGATTGATCGACATAGCCAATCGTAAGATAGTTGTCCACGACTGCAAACTTCTATATCAGCCCCAAATCACCCTCAATTAAATTTAATTAATCGTGGCTATTACGGTGGCTCCATCAAGATGATTGCCATTCTTCAAACTTGCTAGCACAAATGACAACTCATGTACACTATTTACCATCCAAAGTTGAGTATCCTATTCTCTTCATTTAAAAGCCAACCTCTCTGACATGTTGTAAATGACTGATTGCTTAATAACTGAACAGTGTACACAGATGGCGTCGTTGAACGTTAGCATCTGTAGATTAACTTGCTGAACACCATGAACATTTTTCATCCAACAACCTTTGACGATACTACTCTACATTCGGACCAGTTCGATAGTACAGTAGTGCTGTTGATGATAACTCTTGCAGACTTTGACCGAATTAGTTTACTAACGAGGCTGTTGCGATCTTCATTCCCTTTTTATTACTTTCATTTTTTTTTTTTTGGTGGACAGTTTTTCTTCTCTTATAATTACGGTCATTATTGACAGTATTTCCAGTGACAGCACATACAATTGGACTCCATCAACTCTTTCTTTCTTGTATCGTGTACGGCTAGTCCTCACCCAATTTGATCGACACCATTTTTGTAGAATATGCTTGCAAGTCTTCATAGAAGAGATAATTAATAAGCAATCGCTTTCATCGATAGTGCCATCTATCATACTGGACATTCTATCCGATGAAAGCAGAATGATGTTGTTGTGTCATTTCCTTATTAATGTTCTGACTGATTGCGTGTCGTAATTAACGCCGCCAATGTGAAGAAAAATTGATCACTAATAATGAACATCGATGACAATCATAACAGCTCGTTTTTCTCCACTTACTTTCCAATATCAATGACTCAAAAGTCCAAAATACCTTATCATGGTGGTGCTGTATTATCCAACGTTATCATCGATAATAATAAATTGTACAAGATAAAACAATGATAAAGTTTTACATCATTTTCAAGCATGAATTTAGAACTTATTCCTTTGTCATGATGATTACCGTTATGGATGCTCAAATGATAACTGATCGACTAGGAGAGAAATGCATACAACTGTTTGATTTGGATCTATATTATAAGAGTCTTTATATGATATATGCCATCATCAACAGGAAGAAGGGCAATCGACGATCGTGGATAAACACTTTCGTTCATGATAGGACAACAGCTAAAGTAGATGTTGTATTTTTGACTTGGTTTGATCATGGCGTTGTTGTCATTAGTGTCGCCGATATAATAAGAGAATTATTCAACAACAATGTACGCAAAGTACCTATCGGACGAACCCATCATGATGATACTATCACTACCCTTTGCATGAAAAAAAATAAATACTTTTCCGTTCAGGCAATTGCTATTTCAACATACTGAAAGGATTGCAAGTTATAGACATTACGGTATCTTTATCACACTATGGTCGTTATCCTAATTGGCTATCCTGTGGATAAAGTTGGACAACAAATGGAAATGATTACAACCCCTTCGTTTCGTACCCTAAAATTAGCGTTGAAGTGATCTCAACGTATTCATCCTTTTCAATCATTCTGATCCAAATTGACTCCAGTTCCAACAATTCCAATTGAATGCATAACCATCCAATTTTGCCCATATTACACGTATCAAGTCCAGACATGGGTGATTCTTTTTGATCAAAATCGAGAGGATACTGTAGTAAAAGGAGTTGAAGTTATCCCTTTCCCTCCCCCTTCCGATCATGTCGGTCAATAATTGGATATATTGGTGCTGATATAATTGACTAGCCTCAAGTCATTTTCTAGTGTTAATTTGTCAGTCACAATTAAGTTTTATTAGTTATATTATACTTTCATTTACAGAAAAATCCAATTTTTTTGTCATATCAATTTATTCCTTTGCATTTATCCATTTCTGATAGAATGCATGTAGGCCGTTGTAATTAACTTGTCTATTAAAGAAGAAAGTAGATTGTGGGGGCAAGAGATACTTTTCAATTATCTTTATCCTACGATATTGAATCATCTTTATCGATAGATGTTATCCTCCCAGCAGATCCTCAATGCTTCTGGCATTTATTTATTTTATTTTATTTTATAAACTACATCTACTCTATCGCTGTTGAAAAAATTCTATATTACAGTTATTGTCTACTGGATTTCAACCGATTGACAACAAAATTGTCATCACAATCGATAAGAACATTTTGTTGAACTTGTCTTCAATTCGTTCAAGATAGAAAATGCAGATAGCACCATCCCAGTTTGAGTAGTACAGATATCCGATTTTATATTGCCATCCCCATATACCCAACGTTTATGGACTGGACTTGCTAGAAACAAAAAAGGGAAAACTTGAACATCTCCATTCTCACAGTAGTACCATGAAAATTGATCATGATTGAGTTCTCCAAAATCTACTTTATCGTCAAGTTTTACTATTACATTGACATAAATTCTATCTGTTGAGTCATTTTAAAGTAGCTTAGTCTCTCCCCTTCAATCACACCTTGATTATTTGATAAAGCAATCCAGACTATGGTATGCTGTTTCTTAACACCATGGCATCGAAAATAATAATAATGTTTGTTATTGAATGGCGGAAATTAATTTCAAGTCTCGCCAAAAATATGGACCCTTGTTGACAATTATTAATATACAACCCTAATATACGGTATATGCAATTCAATCGATCTACCATGATATTGCCAAGCCAATTCTTCTTTGCATATTCAATTTGTCCTTATGAATGATTGTAGATGGCATAGGATAGGTATTCTCTTTCTACATCCAATAGTATTGGTAGTCATTTTTTTTTTTCAAATGCTTTGGTACTGCTATAGCCAGGTGCACCCGAACTATTCCTTTTTGGTAGAATGACCATACGGTCTATTTTTACGATAATAATTGATGGCATCGATTAGAATGGAGAATCATTTCGGGATATCACTACAACTGGATGCACAGCTTTACATAGGACAGAACAGCCACATCATTAGCAGCGAATTTTATTGCTCAATAGGATAAGCATGGCCTGTATCGGTTATGACTAAGAATGGCAGAGTAGTCCAATAGCGACAACGCTGTCTATCTTTTATGAGCATTCTTGGATAAAATAAGCATCTTTAATATCAATTACAATGGCGATTAATGCTATGGTATCGCTATAGCCTAATAAACACCATTCCAGAATGGTAAAAGAGCCCAATAATTAGCACCATATTGGCATCCAGAACTGATGCAACGAGTATAGTTTACATGGATTATCATGAGTTCTAAATCAATCCATTTTGATACGTGTATAGCAAATAGGACTGCTATAGCTTGATGGATAACATTACATTGAGCAAAAGTAGGCCTATCATTATATTCAGTATCTTTGATAGCGATCATTTTAGAGAATAGGAGATACCTATCCTCTATTTATGGCAGAGTAAGCAAATGAGGATGCTCTTATTTTCTTCTTGATCGTATGGTTTAATTGATTACCGCCTACCTTGGACGACGTTGTCAATAGCAATCTGCGCGTCTAAAATGTATTAGCTACAGTAAGTCGCAAGAATACTTTCTAAATGATTATTACAATATTGCATTATGGATAAAGGTTAGAGATTGCTGCAATATTTCAGTTATTCTCTGCTAGTAATGCCCATCTCATTCACTTTTACACAATCAATCATTGGTATATCTCTTACAAGGAAAAACTATGATACTAGGTCTATCACCGATCAAATGGATGCGTTCATGAATCTAATTCGGATTCTATTCATGCATCCATTTCACTATCCAAATAAAAATAGGAAACATTTTAAATTCTACGATCCTACCATCCACTCGATGTACGCCTACGTTCGATGTATAGCCTATGATGATGACTAGTTAATAAAGTTATTTTTGAAATGAATTAATAATTCGTTATTGTTATTCTCTTTTTTCCACGTATTCTATTGCTACTCTACATGACAAGAATCGTTAACTAGATCGGAGACAGGTGCTCTTGAATACTACAAACCTACTGTACAATTGGATATTTCTTTCTCAGTATGCCGTTCAAATGAAAAAATTTACGGATAGTCTAGTTATCGTCCGAAAGCTGCAGTACCACGTATCTCGAACTTACTCTAGCAGAACATTAATTAAACCAATCCAAATAACATTATCCAAATCGATTATGCGCTTAGACACAATTTTTAGTTGTCAAGGATGATGCTCGATCAAACAAGAATCAAGTAATTAGCGTAAAGCGCTCTAACTTAATTCCACGTGAACTTTGAAGTGGCTAATAAGCAAAACAACAACGATGCCAAATATCCTATTTTATGCATCAGGAATAACCTAGATGATTCTGTCGGTCTCCTTCAATAACGAAAGGCTACACCTATTTGATTCCAATCCAGTCGACATATGCGTATTCTAATTTTCCTCACTGCCTTGCAAAAAAACGTTTATATTTTCAATGCTAGTGTGTCTCGAATGCCTTTGTATCCTTATTTTGAATGGATATTTTATGAAAATTAAAGCACGAAGGCCACTTAAATGTTGTATTTAAAAATAGGGATAGAATTAAAATTGGCCATGGCCAGCCATGCTAAATTAAGAACGTCGTAAACAATTACTTTTGATATTTATTATACATTCGTCAAGCTTCAGCAAGCTGCTATTTAATTTCTTTTTGATATCCAAATGGGTCAATATATTATTGACGTTAAAATGACGACAGACTTTGCCATAATGAAATTGTTTAAGAGGCCCATCAAAAGTAAAAGACTTTTGAACTGTTGACTGAAACAGACTTTTGATTGATCGTATTGCAGCATGCTACGGAAGAAAAGTGCCATCGCTGAAGGAGATGGTGAAGAAAGTGGAACCTTGGATAATTATTTCAATCGCAGTTATACTGCTACCCCGATCGATGATTAGTTCTGACTTTTAGCCATGGAAAATATTGAAGAAAATGTAAACTTCAGTTGCTGTCTAGAAGGATTAATTGTAGTAAACATTGATCGACTATTTTTCAAGGATTTTAAAAAATGGACAATGGGCTGGGCAATAATAGAAAATAACTTTAGAAACTATTGTGGATCTTATTCAATTTGTCAATCTTAATGAAGATTGCTCTTATATATATACAGTAGATTAAATACTCATCAAACAAGCCACGATTTAACTCCCGAAGTAGCAATAGCGATATCCAACAGGATGAGACACTAGTTTTGCTTTTACCATTTTCATGTCTAGACAGAAAAACTAAACTAGATGTACTCTAGCTGGGAAAAGTTCCAGTACTCCACTTACTTGAGCCAATCATGGCCAAACTTGATCCGATCTGTTATTCCAATTTGTTTATACACAGTCTCGGTTTATGTCAGTGTACAGTAAAATGGAGAACTAAAGTTATGATCATCGTCTAGCACCTGCAATTTTTTCAACCAAAAATGCCAGCAATTTTCTACATAAGGACGAGTATACTTGCCTATCATATTAACGTAACCTTCGATGATGAGCAGGATAAGCAGTGGAGGCTAAAAAGACACCAAAATATCGACAGTCTACACACTATAAAAAATCAAATACTTGATATTATGATCAACTTGTTTAAGGACTAGAAGCAACAGTAATTGAAGCAGAAAATGCACCTGCTAAAGCAGCAACAATAATGACATCGAAAAAGGGACATTACCCTGAGATAGTAGTCATCTTTTGACACTTTCCCAAGTTAATAATTCAGTAGCACATCGGGTGGTAATTAAGTTATCACCATCTGCCAAGAGTCGTTCATTTTTTATTCGATACTAGCTAGACTTGATGCCTTTTAATAGCTTGAAGATACGCTTTAGATCGGAAGCGATCATGATCAAGAGCCTCCTATAGGTAAATAGCGATTCCAGATAGTAATGTGGTAGTCATTTCTGGCTGCTAATACAAACTAATGGATCCTATCATGACTCAATTGCTTTTTCCACTCCATAATTGTACAGTGAAGACATATAAGATCGATGCGGAGATATTCGTTCACTTGTTAAATATCCAATTAAGAGTGGACTATTAACAATCTTAATAAATGCAAAGTATCCTAGCACGCAAGATACTCAGCCGATACTCCTTAATGTTATTTAAAATTGACCAGCGATTATAATCAAGTTATACAGACTAGAAGAGACTACAAAGTTTTGTGTTTTTCATAGGCTGTAGTAAAGCTTTAAGGAAGCCATGCTGTCTTAAAATGGATAGGCATGGCTATGCACAATGATGAACACCTACTAGGAGATAATTCTTCAATGGTTATCCATAAAATAAAACTTCTCGCATTCGCTGTATTAGTGCTATTTAAGTGGCTGATGATCATCGATCGGAACCATGTTACTTAATCCAACTACCTCTGATAACACATGCCTACCTAATGACGATTTTCTTTTGAGGCAAGATGTTATGACGCTATTTTCTAGATCACATTTAGCCGCTAACAAAGTGAAAATGTTTCTCATGCAAAGTAATTCTCATGATCATCGATCGGAGCCATGTTGCTTAATCCAACTACCTCTGATAACACATGCCTACCTAATGACGATTTTCTTTTGAGGCAAGATGTTATGACGCTATTTTCTAGATCACATTTAGCCGCTAACAAAGTGAAAATGTTTCTCATGCAAAGTAATTCTCATGATCATCCATCGGAGCCATATTATACGAGTACAATCCAGCTACGTTTGATTACACTATGGACTACTAGAAATACTCGTAATCCATGGATTACTCATGCCTGCAAAATGAACATTTTCCTCACGGGCAAGAAGTTACAAAGATGTTTCCCGATCACTTTTAGCCGCTAAATAAGCAACTGAAAAAGATCTAGAAATAGATGAGTACTTGCCCAAAATTACTGTTGGACGATGTAATTTTACATGGAATTTATTCGATGGCTGCTATTTTCGGCATATCAACTAAGTGACCTTGATTATCCCTCTATCGTAACCGAATTCTAACCGTACCGATCGAGGATCTACCAGCAGCATTGAATGATGAACGATTATCGTGTTGAAACAGCATAATCCATGTTTTATTCTCGATAATAACATCATATTAATTATTCTTACCATTCAATATTGCTTTGGATGATAGTAATCCTCATTCAAAATCAATGCCATCAGGAATGATGTAGCAAACAGAGACAGGCATAGAAAATGATTTAATCTACCTCTTGTTGATAGATCACATCAGTACTAGCGATACCCTACTAGAACGATAACTGACTGTCAAATGCCATAGAGGAGTCCTATGAACGACTTGCTAATGAATAACTATTTTACTTCTTTACCAGACTACTTTATCATAAATAGATTTTAATTTTTACTACGTATAAGACGTCTGACATAGGAAAATGAGACACCAACATTGCCTATATACTTCCGTCCTAGCATGTCTAATTATATGCTGACAATGAAAACATGGCTATCTCTCTTCGATTGTCCTACTCGAAAGAAGCAAATTATGTTAGAATGGTGTTCAATGTAGGCAATCTATCAGCACAAACGCTTGATGGCATCATTATTTACTTTCATCTGTCTTTACCGAATTGTGTTTTAGAATAGAAAGATGTCATTAGTGATAGTTCGCTACTGCAATTAAGATTATCCTCTTCTAGCACAATAATACTTCAATGAATAGAAAATCTTCAATTGTTTATTGACAACTTATGATCTTGTAATTAACTGTTATCCTTACAAAAAATGGAGTAATTACCCCCTTTAGATTGATTCATGGCTACAATAGATACAATATACTATTACGTATATCCTAAATGACAATTTTACTTCAATGCAAACGATAAAATGTTTTCATAGAAGTTACAGGTTAAAATAGGATCAAGAGTTATCTAGTCAGAATTAGATCTGATCGATTATCTTTGGTCAATACACGAAATTGAATATTAACGTACTAATTTCGATATTGTTGTACTATATCCTTTCTAGATGGAATATTTTGGCCTAAAGATAGTTACGGATAACGATGAAGAAAGATGGCTAAGTAAAGAAGCAAATGTAAAGGAACAATTACAATCGATAGAATCTGATTCCAGCCCTATCATTAAATTTGGCCTCCAATACTATGCTATTGATATCAATAGTATTACAAGTGAAATTACAAAGTAAGTTCTTTATTTTTACCGTCTAGCGATACAAATTGTAATAATTATTCCAGGACAGCTTTGTTAAGTTAACAAATGCAATGATGACAAAGCCTGCAATAATTTCTGCTATTAATCGAGCTGAACATAAATTGACCTATTTCAATATTAATTTTATACATCCAGCTATTATATATCATTCACTCCTCTCATTTTTTAGGTACTATATGTACTTACAATTAAAGGAAGATATCCTTGAACAAAAGATACTTTGTGATAGGGATCAGATTTCGCAATTAGCAGTTTATATTTTACAAGGTTTGAGCATTTGCGCCTAAAAAAGAACCTTAATGCTTACTGAAATGTTAGTCTCAAATATTGACATAATATTTGGATTTTATTTCAAATAGCTGAAATGGGGAACATTAAATCACCTGAAGCAGCTACAAAACATCTATTGCAGTATAATATTTTACCTTCGGTGAGTCGTTGTGAATATTTGATTGTAATATTGCGATTATGAACATTGACAATAACTGTCAGAAGTTTAACAATGACTTCACGAGATTAACATGAATGCTACTTTATTTTTTTAATCAATCAGATTTATCTTAGAGCAGAAAACTTTCCAACCATCGTCGAAGAGGTAATATCTTCTATCTTATCAATTTTAGATATCAAAACCTCTTATACATTTGCTCATCAACTATATTAGTAAATCTAGTTATATCTGCTGCATATCGAGTATCACACTTCTTTCGTAAATGGACTTTTTATTCTCTAGAATATTGCCGCTTATCTTCATATGCAGTATATATGCTTTATAGTACAGTAAATTGTCCATGCTACTTTCATATGAGAATCAATTCATTTGTAAACTCCTATTGTGAACTCTGCCGACCTAATCATGTTTCGATTTCCTTTATCGCAAATATCCAAAAAAGTACTTTACATAATGAAGCTAATTGCACATCCAAATCAGACCATTATGACAAAGAAAAATATAATAAAGTCTAAACTATGAAGAATAATTTACTTTAAAATTTTAACATATAAAAAGCATGCATGCACAAATCTACAGTACATAGTAGAAATATATAGATAAAATAAGGTATTTATTGTAATTAAACTACTACGTTACGATGGCATTAATGCACGATAGCAAAGTAAACGGCTAATATTTATCCTGGGTAATATTGAGCCATAACGAGTAGATAGTAAATTCTCAAAATCCAAATGGCTAAAAGTAGTTGGAAATATCTTTGTACTATACTGTAGTCGATGTATATTACTTACATTTGCTTTTCTAACTATCGGAAAAATTATTTAAAATCTTTTATAGATAATCGATGCCTACACTAATTGCAGGTAAGGTATTCTCATCCTCTTGCGGATCTTATGTTAAAACATAGCATCCTACGTACTGTATATCGATTTACAATCATAATACAATTGAAGATTAAAATATTAATGCACGCAATTTGATCACATCAGAGGGAAATCTCAGGCCTGGGCAGAAGAACAATTTATTAATATTGCACAACGATCACAAGGCTATGGTTATGAATATTTTAAGGTAAGTAGACTTTTGGCTAGGACAATAAATGTAAAACTGAGTTAATTACAGATAGGAAGTGTCATTAGGCCATAATGAAAAAATATTTTTGAAACGTTAAGCAATTTCCCGGTCGAACTATTTAATATTGCTTATTGTGATGAATAGGAGTCGCGCATGAATGGCTACATAAGCGTCCACTTTCAAGGTATTACCATCAAAAGGGACAACGTGCCTCCTGTTTTTTTCAGGTGAAGTAGGCAAAACCTGTAATGGCATATAGTGTAGTCGTGAATATTGCATTATAAATGATTTATAATTTTCTTGTACAGTTGGGAAGAAGTCAGCTGTTTCGAATCGAGCGCCAATGTATTCACTATTTTTAGCCAAAGTAGAAATATTAATGCATCATGTGAAATGGTATTATCTTCAAAAGCAATTCGTACCAAATTACATTACTGTTGTTCGTACAATGAGAAATTTAAAACCATTTTGTATATTGTTATTAATCATTCGTAGCCTAATTGTACTGAAGCGGAATATGTCCTGAGGCGATGTCAGAGTTTTCAGAAATTTCAAATGAACGTTAAAGTGAAGAAGCGAGATAGACTATTATCAAAGTAAATTAATCATCCATTGCTTTAATACAAGATAACTTTCGGCGTACATTCTAGAATTTCATTAAAGTTGATAAATAGATATAATTTTGATCCGTTGATTTTTAAAAGTAAACTGTAAATTTTTCGATAATTTAACGTGCTTAGACGGTTTCATAATTTGCTTTTTTGATCTACTCGCAAAAATGTTATCAAAAGGCCGATACTTATTACTAATGTATTTGTTATATGTTACTATTTCGCTTAGCTCCTTCCAAAACTCTTCCGCTGATGATGACTCAAACAGGTGCAACCGTACTTTTTCAATTTTATTAATTTATAATTATAGCTATTTTTGTTATTTATCATTATCAGTTATTACTTCGTCAGACATAAAAGTAAACCGTTATCTTAACTACCAATTACGTATTCTTAGTGCTAGAGCAAAAGATAAACGTAAATCCACGTTAACCCTTGCCTCTACCGACGAAATGGTACGTACAGCTGTTGAGATAATTATTGAAAATTTTTTTATGTTAAAACGGCGTAAGATAATTGATTCTGTATCAATTACATGCTTGCAATAGAAACAACGCGAAGAAGCATTACGAAAATTTAAACAAATGAAGTTAAGAGGTATGTAAAGCCAATTCCTGTGCTAAACAGTTATTACCGATAGTATAGAGTGTAAATACGACTTTAGCCAAATGAAATATGTGAGAAGCATTTCAAAAACTATTAGAACTAAGCGAAGTAGGTCTTGGTAATCACAGAATTTCTAACCCTCAAATATTGAATACATTTCAGATATGAAAAAGGAGAAACCACCCTTGAATGGTCTCAAAATATTAAATTCAATATTTACCGTTAATAAATGCTATTCTAAACATAATCTGTCACAATAAATTTAAAATTAAATTGCTGAACAAATAACTTACAGATCGCCCAATAGAACCTATTCCTCCAAGAATTAAAGATAAGAAGCCTCCAGCACTTCCTCCGAGAGATAAAAGCGCCGCACCACCCCCTCTTCCCCCTAGGAGGCCTGCCGGACAGTTGCCTAATCGTGCTTATAGTGCCTCAGAAGGAACTAGGAAGGACCATTCTGCCCCACCAAAATTGCCACCAAGGGTCAACTTAGATAGACATCGCCATGCTATAGAGAACAATACCTCCGCCGATAACGACTATGAAGAGGAAAACCAATTTAGATCAAGGTACAACTCGGCACCTCCTGCGGTGGTACGTCCACCAAAACCCTTGCCAACTTCAGGTAATATTGAAATTTGTATATTCTTTCTTTAACCATAAAGTATAGCCACTTTGTAGTTGAAAATTAGTAATTTTGGACTCTTCATCTCTTGCATCTTTTTGGACAAAGGTTCATTATATTATAAATTTACTTTTATATTTTAGGAACGGATCAAGATTACATCACATCACCTATTTATCAAATTAATGATCCTGTTTCTTCACCGTCAATGAGGCGGTATAGAAGTAAAATCTTTGTCAAGTCTGCAAGCAGAGAAGAACAGGTAGAAAAAATAAATTTATCCCTTGAATGTACAGTAATTCTGAATAAGTTATCAACTCTATACTTACTACGTCGTTATTTTTACACAGTTGGAAAGTCTAGAAACAGCTTTAGAAACTGATAGTGTAGATCAGGAATATCATGATATTGAAATGAGACCTGATGGCGTAGTAATTGCATCAAGGCTACCCGAAAATTTGCCTAGAAATCGTTTTAATGATGTCCACTGTTATGATGTAATTTATATTGCCATTACGCATTCTTATGATTGAACTCGATACGATTCATCCTGTTTTCAAAATGCTAATTCTTCTTTTCACTAGGAAACAAGAGTTGTTCTAAATCCTCGTAATAATATGGAAAGCAACGACTACGTCAATGCTAGCTATGTAACGGTGAGTTCATTGCTCATTCAAGCGTCATTATTGTACTACTACAACAATTGACTATGTGTTGAATAATACTAAAATTAGATGGAAGTCGGTGATAAAGTATTACGCTATATCGCTGCACAAGCTCCTTTACAAAATACTGTAGAAGATTTCTGGCAGATGATTTGGGAACAGCAGGTTGCTTTAATAGTAATGGTTACAGCAGAGCAAGTAAGTTTCATCCTAAAATTTACTATTAGATTGCCCCGAAAGTGATAAACTGTTTATGACAAATCCATTTTAGGAAAATTCCACGAATAAATGCTTTACATATTGGCCTGATATGGCTATCGGATCTACCGAATATTTTGAGCCGGTAATTTAAAAATTAGCTGATATTACCGTCGATATAATGTAGTCAAAGTTGATTTATCTTCAGCTTTCCTATAATGAATTTGCTTCGTATATTATTCATAATAGTACTCTGTTTCAAGCAAGACCTTCCACGCAGCATCGGCGTATGTCATTAGAACTTTTGCTGTTGAAAATACAGCTATTGGACAGGTAAAAATTTTAGAGTATACATAATAATACGTTACATAATTCTTAATGTAAAATTAGCTGCATAAATACTACTATATACCGGAGTATGGCGTATGAGCCCTCCTCTATTACTTCAGACAATTATTTATACTTAACGCTGTTGTTTCACCCTAATAGTCTAGAATTATTTACCACATTCAGTTTGTTGGATGGCCAGATCATGGGGTTCCGGACCATGTAGACAAATTTCTAGGTACCTATAAGATGACCATATTTATTTTTAATTAAAATACCGAACTTGATTATTGCCGTTCATAATAATGTGAAATTCATCCTTAGAATTTTATAATAAGATGAACGCGATACGTAATCGCATATACCAAGCTACTGATCAGTTTGAACCTCCTACGTTAGTACACTGTTCAGCTGGCGTAGGAAGGACTGGCGTGGTAATGTTAGCAGATCTAATGATTGCTTATATTAAAAATCAATGGGTGAGTATAAATGTTTTTTTGACTTATTAACAAATAATTTACTACTGCTGATTATATACGTAAGCAGACTGTGTTTAATGTGTTCAATCCTGATTTCTCTGTCTTTAGGAGTTAAATATACCGGCTGTGTTAGCAAAGATGCGAAAACAGAGAATGTATTTAGTCCAGACATATCAGCAATACGAATTTGTTTATTTATCTCTAATACAGTACATTAAAAGATATGATACCAGAAAGAGTCTACGAAAAGGTAACACTTGCAAAATTAATTATGCAAGAATTAAATTCATAATTTTCATTGATCGTTTCCTTGATTCTCAATCGCTTTTAACAAATTCCTAGATACATTTGATGAAGATATGGACATGATGATATAATATCACCGACAGAATATTGTAATTCCGTTTTTTGTCTATCCGTCTGTGATAGCGCTCAGACCGAGGATCGGAATTTTTATGATAATTAGAAGCATAGGATTATGGTATGATAACCTGTGATGAAAATTTTTTATCCAATGGGTGATTAGTATTTTTAATTTGAATATATCCATTATTAAATGCGATTGCTGATAATTGTTCTATGAATGTGTATAATTAATTTTGCTTATTAATGTTATGTATATGCACTCAAATATCTCTTATGATACGAGCAATGCTATATTCGGCATATTTATTCAGGATATTGAAGGCAGATGATCATTCATTACTTTAATGTTATGCAACGATGATGAGACAATTGTACAGATACATGTAAATAGAGCTGATAACTGCAAACTTATGAAAGTATGTACTACTATATAAATTATATTTAATTATTAAATGTTATTTTATACATTCTTCGAAAATGTTGTCTTTTTAGTAAGTACGGCTAAAATCGTGTGCGATGCTGTTTAGAGGAGTTAAATATTTATCGTGCATTTTATAAAACTGCTTGGCTCTTGCTATTATTTCATTTGGAATTGCATCGTTTAATTAATTAATTTACTGCCAATTACCGAAGTAAGTTCTATATTTCATGTATATTTATCTCAATTATAATCATTTATCAATGAAAATAAGATATTGATGCCAGTACTATTAACAATTAATTTAAATCTTAAGATTAGACCTAGAATGTACAGGGAAGGTATCAACGTTTCAACCCTGTAACTTCTGCAACAATAATGATCTCGATTTGTTAAATTGGTCTTAAAAACTTTGAAGATGTACGTAATTGAAGGCTCAAAATGAAGTGAAGTCCTAGAATTAACTGATTTATTTTAAATTATATTTGCTTGCTAGAAAAGATGACTCTTTACTGAAATATAATTAGGCTGAAATTGGCACCTGTAGATCATTTTTGTCATCAAGACATTACTACTCTTACTTTAAGCAAATTTTGCCTAATAAAAGATTTCTAGTTATCAAAGTTCGTTGATTAATTAATAATAATCCTGTAAGATATTGCCAATGATAAGTATGCGCTCTCTTGTAAGACCATAAATGTAAACTGAGCGATAGATAATATGTGATACAATTTTTCAAATGTTTGATATTCCGCTTCTAAATACGCACCCACAAATTAATATTATTCATACCACTATAATGGGAATATTAACCGTGCAGTAACTGCTATTCAACTTTTTGCATGTTTACCAAACTTATACTTGCTCACAATATTGTTGCAACATATTTTTTAGATATTGGATAGCCAATTCATTGATAATAAATTTTCATTTGCTTACGCAATAGAAACCAAAAATTACTCCCTCAAGAGGGTAATTTCCGTTATTTCCGAATATGCTACGTCAATATTGCAAATTAAATTATGCAATCAATGCTAGTAGAGCAGCACATGTACCTGTTAAGACCTTTTCTCAAAGCATTTTTAATCTCTGCCACCACAGCTACAACTGCTTAAATTGCGTATTTACCTACTAAATTTTAGTCGTAAGATCGCATCTTTTAATAAATAAGTAGAAGGTTGAGTGAGTTTCTCAATTAATCAAGACTATCAAGACTACGATAATAATCCTAAATAAACTATTAAAGATTTAATTATAATACTGGAAATATATTTTAAAAACGTTGAGCGATAATTTGCGTACAATGCAGATTTCATATGCATTTTAGTCAAATATCGACCAACTACAGTAATAATCTTTGGTCAAGAACATTTTTTAGTAATCTTTACTCTTATTGAAATTGCTCTTAAAGATTTAAATTCTTATTATTCGATATATAACTCAACTTACGCGCTGTAATAAACCGTGAATTGAGCGATAAAAGGCAGCTTAGATTGCGATTTAGAATTTATTAAAATGGAAATGACATAAAAAGAGTCGTCATTAAAAATTTAAATATCGCAAATAGCAAACAATAGGTACAAGTAAATTCGACCATTAGCTACTGACGATAACTTTCATCAATATGAGAAAGAGAGTGAATAAAACAAGTTTAAGCGTAATGTCTTATAAATTTGGACAAAACATATACCAAATTTCAGGTACATCGTTGAAAAGTAAAAGATGACTTAGAACAAGTTGTAAATAAGTAGATGTAAGAAATCTATTACAGAAGGTGATTAAAGAATAAAAATTTTGTTTCTTAATTTTTATGACACATATACAAGTGTTACACATATATATATATATATATATATAAATCGTTTTATTATAATGAAATATGATCTCGCTTACGTCGATGATAAGTACAGAGTAATCAAGAGTAATTACATAGATTTAATGACGTAAATTTTTAATAAATTGATCTCCTTGTTTTGCAATATTGTCTTCGACATTCCCAATCTTTCTTAACTTAATTTCCAAATCTTCCACAGAACTCTACATTATACACCAATACGGAAATACATGAATTAGTTGCCTGCATAAAACTAACACCTTAGATTTACGACTTATAGCAAATTGTCCTATTTCAAAGCTACACTTACATTGTGAATATCTTCGCCTTCTATTCCAGCTTCTTGTAGACCTAACCAGGAATCAGCTGCATCAAGGCGTTGCGCTAATCTCTATAAATTGAAATATTATAAAATGAATAAGTATTATTCCTAAATACTTTATACAAAATTCAAATAATCTGCTAATATCACGGAATTATAGCCAAATAAAACTCCTAATCCTCTATTATTTGACATCTGCTGTAAACTATTAATAAGGAAATAATATAACTGAGATAGAATAGCAAATATTAATTAGCTAACATTGCCTAGCTACTATATTTAAGTACGTTGTCTAATAGTAATTAAATCAGAAGTTAATGACAATAACCCAAGATTACAAACCTGATCGCGGACACTTTGATCTAAATCTTTCTTATGCAATAGCCATTCTTGCTGTAAGTTAGACCAAAGTTCATTGACATGAGCCATTCTATCACGAATAGCATTAGACGCAAAATGGCCACTATCAAGTAAAGCTTCACCAAATTCTATCCATTGAATATATCGATCGTGATATTCTGAAATATCGTTTTCTAAAGTACGCTTTCCTTTCCCTGTGTCTTCAAGACTAGTCCAACTCTTACTGAGATCTGGGCTTAAATATCTCATCATACGATTAATCCAAGAACTAAACGACAGGAAAGTACCCATGCATTATTAACAGTTGAAAAGGGAAAAGCTAACGAGTATCATAATCAATAGATGACCAATCACTTACCAAATATCTTTATATTCACGAGAAAATTCCTGATAGTGCTCAATTTGCTCTATTTTACCATCCATGGTGGAAATATTTTCTAGTAAATGCGACCAAATAATAGATAATTGCTTATGCTTGTCAGAAATATGATTAGCTTCGTCAGGGAATGTTTGCATTAGATATTGCTTCTCAGAAAAGACTGTTTCAACTTGTAGGTTAACACTATTGGCAAGATCCTCCTATCATTATCAATTGCATAATATACCAAATTAGTTTAGTTTATAATGTACACGATACCTATCTGCTGTATATATACTCTTTCTAGAATAAAGAAATCTTTACATTTCACTCTTTCCTACCTTTAATTGCTCATGTTTATTTCGTAGTAGAGCTAGATTGACACTTTCTGCATTTTTTTCGTCTACATTCAAGTTCTTTTCCGTTTCCTATAGAACAGCCAAAATGTAAAATAGTCATCAGTAAATGACCAGTATGGAGTGGCAGTAAGTATTGGAATTAGTATAGCTGGTGATTATCCTACCTGACTCCAATGTATAATTTCATCAACGTCGTGATAGTAAGTATGCAAATGATAAGCTCCAGTCAGATACTGCATGATGAAAAGAGTGAATTTCATAAAATTAGAATCATAGCACTTAATTTAAGAACAAGATTCAAGACATAAAATTGTTAAGATCCATGCCTGCTTTCGCCTTTCAGCTAATTCATATAAATGATGTAATTGGTCGTCAGCCTTGACCAGCTGATCTTGCAGTACACGATTGTGACTTTCCGGATGATTTAGTCTTTGAAGTAATTGCATGGATTCGTAGAAATTCTCAACTTGATTTCTGCAATCTTCCAGGACATCATAGAATTCATTCAACTTCTGGCGGATATTCTAAACACATAATAATCCAATTTCAAATTAACAGTAAATTATCACCATTCTTTGTCTACATTTTTACATCCAGGATATTATAGAATATATACAAATAATTCATCATTCATAACAAATTAATAGCCATTCTTCGTCATTAAATACTAGCGTATGTACTTGATATTTCTATTTTTAACTCACTATATGCGATACAGTAAGCTTAGCAACAAAATAAAGGTATTTGGAATAGATAACAAACCTCGACATGGTCTAGATCACGACAAGGATCATGAAGGACAGGTGATAATTCTTTCTCCTTCAGGAAATTGTACAATTTGTCAACTTCCTTACTAACTTGATGGGCTTGAAGGACGCGGTTAAGATGATCATGACGCTTACGAGCAAGATCGAAGACTTCAGTATATAATTTTGCTAGAGACGCCTGCAATCATATTTCAGTAAAAAGGATAATCGATTAATTTAATAAAAAAAAAAATTAGCCGTTGTAACGCTATTTATGGTAGTGGGTGTTATACTTTTAATTTTGTAGCAATTGGCAACTTACATATTTCCTTTTCATGGTTGATAATTCTGGCAATTCTTGCTCATCAAACTTATTAATTTCTGACTCAATGTTAGTCAAACGCTCATGATAATTGTCTAATTTTTGTTGCAAGATCTCCAAGTTTTGCATCAAGACCTATCCATATCGTAAAATTATATAATTATCTTGTTGAGCAAGTGGCTATCTAATCATATCAACAGTAACTTACCTGACTCATTTGTTCATTAACTCCTAAATCAGCACTTAAAACTTCAGCTTTCATATCTCCAAGAGTAGTTTCAATTTCATTCATGCTAAAGATTAGCTGCAAAATATTTTATAAAAATAAATATAAGATCAACGTTGCAAGCAATAAATTTACATATTTATCTTTTCTATCTTTAGCATCTGTGAAAGCAAGCTGTAGATCAAGATCATTGAATAAATGGAGTAGAAATATCTCATTTTCAGATATGAATATCAACTCATTTTACTTGTAGGTAGTAATATAATCATTAACAAGGATAAGATATTTTAACCTCTACTAATCTAACGTACCACTTGAATTTCAACGTTAGTCTGGAGATTTTCCCTTCGCTTACTGCTTTTATACTTAAAATCCGACCATCGATCCATTAATTCTTGGCATGATCGATCTGATCCTTCCAGTGAATATTGATCACCACAGTAGTGGAATGTTAATTCAGATGAAAATCGTATTACTGCATCAATCAAGACATCGTGCTCATTCATTTGCGCTTGCAATTCTTCATGTTTATGTAATAATTTCCTGACTTCATTTAATTCTTTGCCATAAAATGTTGAATTAACTAATGGCTCTTTCTCCTTCATCCATAATACTTCTTTATCACAGCTATAGATGAAACGATGAATTCTTAAATATTCTTCCAGAACAGCACCACGATATTCAGCAATTTCCTCTAATGGCTCAAATGATTCAGCTAAAACCTGTTGGCAATTCTTTAACGAATCTTCCAATAAATGTTCAGTCTGTAGCGATTGGCCAATTTTATCTAATAATACTACAACCTGATTATGATTATTCTGCAGTTGATTTTCAATTTGATGATGACGATCTAATAGCTCCGTCGTTGAACTGACATCGTGTCCATATTGATTGGAATTTAATTCACTTTCAACTTCTTTAATCCAATTGATCATATCTTCACATTGTGATAATAACTGTTGGCCGTTAAAGCTACTTATTAATAGTCCACGTAATTTATCAATAGTATCAACTAGGTAATGCCAACGATCATCAATTTCGTTTAGGCGTGCAGCAATACTTTGTCCAACATGCTTAGATTTCCATAATAAATTACTACCATGATTAATTAAGATGTCCACATCATCACGACGTTCAGCAACTTCTTTTTCAACTGTTTGGCGTTTCTCTAACTTCAAGGGTAAATTGGTTGGTACACTAAAAGATGCATCATTGATAATGGATATTTTCTCATTAATCCATAGTAATAATTCTTCACAGGTAGCGAAAAATTCTTTTACTTCTTGTAATTGCTCCAATTCTGTACGCCTTGATAAATAGATGCTATTAATGCGATTTTTAATAGTTAATAAACTATTTAATCGTTTTAAGATTGTTTCTTTATCATAATGGCCACTTTGGATTAAGGTGAGAGCGAATTTCTCCAATGCTATACGATCTTGATCATATTCTTCGATATTTTTATCCACTTCGTTTAATTCTTTCTGCAATAAATCAACATGATCGATACTGTCTTCCACCATATCATCGGTTAAATAGTGCTCATCTAAACGGTTGAAATTTTGCTCAATTTCATCAGCACGTTGCATAAATATATGCAAGTTACGATTTTGATCGAGTAATTTATCTCGCATTTCCCATGCATGAGTTAAATTATCATGGCGTTGAAACAATTCTTGGATAGTATCTTTCATTTCATAGGCTTGAGGTCGATGGCTATTTTGTTGATACATTTCATCGAGTTTTTTCAACGAATCGGCACATTTATCTAAATCATTAACTTGAGCATTATGGATCATAATTGCATTTTCAGAATCTTCTAATGTTTGTGGTAGTTCAGGTGCATTCATATTGCGATCAATATCATCCATATAGGAAGAGCAATATTTTTCTTCAAATTTAAATTGATGATAAAGCTGTTGATCATCTAGTCCAGCTTTACGTTGATCGGATAATTGATTGATTTGGGTCCATTTTATCATCACTTCATCATATTTAGCATGGATTTGCTCTTGATAGGGTGGACAAGATGTTAACATTGCGGTTGCAAGTTGATCAAAGTCGATCACACGCGGTTGTAAAATTGTAATTTCACCTTCAAGGCGTCGATAAGTAGCAATATAAGTTTGTGTGGTATCGGCTGCCGAGCCTAAATCTTGATTTTGTAACACTTCGATCATTTTATCTAACGCTTGGATAATAACATTAGCATCGATAACAAACGAGAAATACTGCCCAGCTTGTTTTAATAATAATTTAAATTGTACTATCGATTGTTGTAGTAAAGACCATTGATAATTTAATTGATCACGTTTAACTTGAATTAAATCCTGTGATGGATGTTGATGATCAATTAATTTTTGCCCATAAGCGACGATACTCTTCAAGTATAGCTCATTCTGTCGATATTCCTCTTCTTTTTCATTTAATTGGCGTTGTATCAATTGATTCTGTGGTAAATCATGACCTAACGATGGATGCTTATAGATGGTTAATCTTTCCTCAATCCATAGTAATTCAAATTGAGCATCTTTATTAAAGATAGCCATTTCTTTCGATTGGATTAGACAATGTTGTAATTTTTTATCGCTTGATTTCAACTGATGCCATTTATCTTGTAATTTACCGATCTGTTTATGGATCTCTTGATTTAATGGATGGCCAGTATCTAATAATTTTTGCCCATGACGTATAACTTCGATTTTTTCTTTCTCACATGGTAATAGTAGACTTTGGAATAAATGATTTTGGCGAATTTCAATGGATGGCGTATCAAGATAATATTGGCATATTTCATGGATGCATTCATCTTTTTCAACTAGTCGCCATCTAACTTCTTCAACACGTTGTGTAAAATCTAAATAGGCATGCTGGCATTTAGCCTCTTTCAATTTATCATTAGCATGATTATAAACATCATGATATTTAGGCTTAATATCGTGATTTATATTATCGGTCATCTTATGGCTTAAGCGTCCATCTTTCATTAATTGGATAGAATCACTTAAGCGACCAATACGATCTTTAATTTCGTTCAATTGATTTAATTGCTGGATAACTTCTTTAATACGATGATCAACTTGTTGCAATTCATCCAATGTTTGAAATTGTTGTTTCAATTTGCCTTGGATATCATTTAAATCGTGGACAATTTGTTGGCTACTTTGTTCAAATAAGAAATATTTATGTAATTGTTCAAGGCGTTGTTTCCTATTAGACCAATTAGTCTTTAATAAATCAGAATTCTCGCGCAATAAAGATAAAGCATTATATAAATCCATAGCTGGACGTCCTTGGCTGTTAACTAATAATTGGCCTTGGCTTAATACTTCTTCAATTAAACTGTCTTTCGAGCGCACTTCTAAACCATTAGCTTCATGACTACTTACTTGAACCATTAATTCCTGGCGTGATTGCGGTGTTGTCTCCGATGTAATAACCTCATTTAAGCTAACAGCCCACGATGCTAAATCTTTCACCGAATTCATACAACGATAATGTTGCTCGGATACATTTAAACGTGTAGCATAATCATCGCAAGCTAACTTTAATGTCTTTAATTGCGCCTGGACATCATGGGCACGTTGATTAATCTTGGATATTAATAAACTTAAATGTGGAAAATGCATGCGATCTACTTTAAAGACAGTAACTTTGACTTTATCTTCTAATGCTTGCACACTATTTAAGAATAATTCATGTTGGCGTAATAAACTTAAGACTGCATTTAAATTTCGACCCACATCTTGGCGTAATACTGCACGTTTACTATCTATCTGATGTTGGATATCTGTCAAATCCATATATAAACGATGAGTTGTAGCAGCCGATTCCAAATTTTCACCACGTTTTTTAATTTCTTCACGTAATACAGTCCAACTTTGCATCACTGAGACTCGTGCTGTTTTAACTTGATCTTGGATTGGGCTTTCTTCATGGATTAATGCATCGGATAAATCTTTCAAATCAGAATAAGTCTTGACTTTTAAGTCGAATTCTTGACGCAATATTTCATAACCATGCCATAAATCATCAACATGATCAATGTTACGTCCATAATCTGTCGATGATGCTAATTTCATCTTATTATGGATAAACGCCAATAATTCATCCGCTTGATGAATAAAATAAATACATTTTAAATAAGATGTTAATCGACTTTTTAATTGAACATTGGATACTTTTAATTGACGTAATTTATCCTGTAGTTGGCTTTGTTTTCGAGTGGTAATATCTTTCTTATTTTCATCTAGTTGCACAATTTGTTGGCATTCTTTTTGTAATGCTTTAATTTGTTTTGAATATTGATCACTATCCGATGCAATCGATTGTTGCAATAACAAGGAGCGATTAGCAGTATCTTCACTTTGATAATGATCGAGATTATGTATTAAATTAAGCTTGTCTTGCATGGTGGCTTCTAATTCTTCTGCTTTACTTAAATATTGCAATACTTCATATTCGATATCTAAGTATTTCTTTTTATCCTGAATGGTTGTCTTTAATTTACCTAATAATGTTAATAAAGTATTACGTAGAGGTTGAATTTTAATTTTCATCATGGATGAACGATTTTGTAATGTATCACCACCATGGATAATTTGATCGATAATTTCTTGATGGCCAGTTAATTCCAATTGTAATAAATTCAATCGTTTTTGCGATGCAATAACACCATCGATATCAGTAACAACGATTAATGAGGGTAAATTGCGTAAACGATCTTCAATCCATGTGGATTCATCATGAATTTCTTGATTAAATTGATGAAATAAAGCTGTTGCTTCAATACGTAATTTCCGTTGGACAATTTGTTGCGATAATAATTCATAACGTTGGATTAATCGTTGGCATTTTTGCATACATTTATAGGCAAGATAATTTTCATCCTGAACAAATTCTTGACATCGTTCGTTGATATTTTGCAATGTCTTATTGATCATGCCAAGTTGTAACTCATATTCTTTATACTTTTGATAGAGATGGCGTATAGCAACAATATCCTTACCATCGACATCATATTGAGAGAAATGTTCAATATGAGTTATTTTATCATCGATATCTTTCATATTGGTATTAAATGATTGCAATTGACTATTTTGCTCTAGACGGCGTCGTCGTAATTCTGTTTGTTGAATTAATTCACTCCACTTTTCAGTTAATAAATCGATGGATAATTTAGCTTCAAGGCCATGATCATGATATTTCTTAACTAATTGCTGCCCATAATGTACAATATCATCGACATGATCTTGATTAGCATTAATTTCAGCCTCTAAATTTTCATGCTTGGACAATTTACTCTGCGTATGCGATGGATCACGATAGAAATCATCTTGCCCTAATAAATGGATTTTATCACTTACCCAATCGATAATTTCATCCACTTCTTTAACATAACTTGCAATCTCTTCAATCACAACCAATTTATCATATAATTGATCATAGAGATTCCAAATTTGTTCACGCCGTTCAATAATACGACGTTGATAGATGGTAATAACTTCATCTTGTGGATGTCCACGTAATAATAACGCTTGAGCAATATTATTAAATGATGTTAAGCGATCATCTTGCATTTTTAATGGTCCTTCTATTTCGTTATAGCGCCTTTTAATGGTATCGAAATTGGATGGGCAACTTGTATCGGTATATTGAGTTAACAATTTCTCCATAGCATCGTATTTTTTACTAATTTGTTGATAATCGCGATTGAGTAATTGCCAATCTAAGCAATTGGACAAGTATTTGCAGTAATCATGCCAACATGTATTAAGATGATCTTGACTGGCTGCTAATTGTTCTAATCGAGAATTTAACTGTTCACGATGGCTAGGATGTTCTGCTTTCAGCGATTGGCCTAAGGCAATTAATTCGGTATAGTTTTCACGATGTAAAACTACCGTTGCCTCATTTTCTTTATTTTGCTCTAGAAATTCCTCAGCTTGGCGAACACTATCAATCATCGTATGACTGATATCGATATTACTTTCCATATTGGCTGCCCATTCTAATAAATCACTGGATTGTCGCATAAACTGTTCAAGACGGAATTCATAATCTAATGTACCAATCTTAGCTGTGGATTGTTGTTGCATTTGATCCCAGATCGAATTTAATTCCGACCATTTAGATTGCACCTGTTGTTGCAATTGTGGCTCTTCTATCGCTAACTCTTGGATTAATTTCGATAAATGGTCCATATCGCGTTGACCGCGTGCTATATCTTTTTGTAAATCTAAATGTTGATGATGATATTTCTTCGTTTCATTGGGTGAATAAGCTTGATCTGGATCATCCTGATCTTGTGTTAGATCAGATTGCTTCTGATCTAGCCACAATTTCAATTCATCACATTGCTGTATAACGTTGCGGACACCGATTAAATTTTGGATATTTTTTCCAGTTTGATTTTTCAAGGCTAATAAGACTTGCCAACGTTGATTAACATGATCGATCGATTTCACTATCTCATCGTCGAATTGTCGATACTTTTTGGATATAATAATATCTTTTCCAGCATCTTGAATGGTTTTTAGTTGTGCTTGTTTACTTGGTAGTTGGCGCTCTAATTGCTCAAAAGCTTTCTCTAAATGCGATAAATGATCAAGATTAGATTGATAAATTGGATTCGATAACGTGGTTATTTGTTGATTAATCCAATCTTCGATATCATCGCAATCACGCTTAAAGCCATGATAGTAATGCGTAAATGTTAAACGATCATAACGTTGGCCAGTAAGCGATCGTAATTGTTGATAGAGACCTTGTAAATGGCGTTGTTTCTCACGGATATCATTGATCGATGGCAGTAAACTTAAGTCAACAGCTGCTGTAATTTGTTGTGGCTTGGAATTTAATTCTTTTTTGGCTTCTTTTCGTAATTTTTTCGATGATTTGGGATCTTTACTAACGTGATAAAGGACCCGTGGAGCAATTTCCTTAATATAATTAGCCGGAGCATAACCTACACGACCTTCATCATTTTTAACAATCCACCAATCTGGGTGGCTTTTATCCATTAACAGTAAAACTTCATCGCGAGCCATAGTCATACTTTTCCCTTCAAATGGATATAAAGCGCGTACTTGTGGTACCTCAATTTCTGTTAACATTTCTTTGCCATCAGAACTTTCTTCCGGATCGATATCATCCAAAGTTTGTATCGGAATATGCTCTTGCTTCATCTGCTGCTGTTGTTGCTGCTGTTGTTGCTGTACTGGTGTTGATGGCAAGCCTTCCAGCATTTCAATAACTGAGCGGCATAAATTGGATAATCGCTGCATGTCTTCATCAAAATTATCCACATCATTCCGAACCATGGATAAATTCTGTAGCAATGTTTCTGTATTGCTTTCATCACGGCCATAATCAGTATTGGATACTAAGGGTAATTTTCCGTTGATCCATGATTCTGCATCATCACAATCAGCTAAATACTGTTGCAATTGGCCAATATCAATCAGATACTTTAAGCGTTCTTGACTTAGCCGGGATAGTGTTTGCCATTTTGATCTAGCTTCAGAAATGATATCTTTCAGCTTTTCGGCATCGATATTATTCAATTTGGATGCTTTCTCAGCATCATCCATCGTCTTTTCAAACATTGGCCTTCTAGCATGCATTTCAGAAACGAGCAACTATGAAGAAAAGAAATTAAATTGAAAATTCTGAATATATTGATTAAAGATCAGAAAATGGAATGATATAGAATATTCAGCTCAATATATTGTGGTAATAATATCTATTATACGATTGACTGCTATAGGAATGTATAAGAAATCTTTCCAGTAAACGCTATATTCTACCAACTGCAATTACTACATCGATTTGGTAATAGATCTAATACTCACTTCTTGTTTCTTTTGCATCCTAGGCACATTGCTTAAATCCTTTGCTAAAGAAGCCGTACGGAAATCTTGTTCTTTTTCTTTCAGCCAACCTAACTCTGCTTCAGCACTTCTGCGATAGGAACGAAACTCGAGAAATTCGCTCAGAGTTTCTCTTTTCCTCAAGCATAAATCAGTTATAGTATTGTAGAGCCTAACAAGCTGCGTATGTTTATCTCGAAGTTTAGTATACTCTGGATTGCCTGATCGGATATAATTTTGTATCTTATGCGAAGTCTTATCGATTCTTTCTCGAAGTGTTTCTAATTCTTTTTCAATTAAGTTATGTCTCTCTAATAAAGCTTCGACATTTAATGAAGACTGGTTCGACTCCTTCGTCGACAAGCGTTTCTGTAAAAATGAATATTGAAAATAAATTACAACTTTAAATTGGCTAAAATGTTATCCTACAGTATTCCTGAGTATCCTATAAATCGTATCTATGTGAGAAATAATTTCCTGTTCGCTATAGCTTTGAATAGCAAACTCGATAGAATAACACAGCATAAAATGGATAAGGAACTGTAAACTCATTCACGACCTATCGGTTAACTGTGCTAATTCGTACGAGAAATACTGCAGAATTGGTTAAGGTATTTATTCAAATCATTTTTATTCAGCTATTAAAGGACGTTAGGACCATCAAATACATTTAAACGCTAATATCTGATGATCAACTTACATCTAAGTCTTCCAATTCGAATGTTGCTGACTCTATCTCTCGATACAAGACTAACAATTCTTTTAAGGCATCAGCTATCAATTGGCGAGGGCGCAGTTTTGCTAGAATATCATGCCAGCGTGTTTGTAACTTTTCAGTCCTTTAAAATGTAGAAGTGAGAAATATTTCTTTTAATCTTATTCTTTACTATAATAAGCAGAAGTATAACCGTATTCTGTCCAGGTTGTATAGTATAATCAAGCAAAATAGTAAGCCTTACTTTTGGCGAATATCATCAGCTCCATGGTAATTTCCGTTGACTAATTCATCGGCTAATGAAAATAATCGCATAAAACGATCCTCCTATCGATTATAAAGTGGAATCCATTAAGCATCTAGTAATAGCAATCTAGAAAATCTATTGCTGGATATGATGGAGTAAGATATCGAATCGATTGAAATGAATTACCCTTCCTTGGATATCATTCTCGATGGCTTCTTGACGCTGAATTGATATTTCAACAGAACGCTTATCATTATATTGAAGACTTTCGTCTAATAAAATATCCATATCGCTTAGCCAATCTTCATGAAGACCAATCTACGCGTATAAATGAAAGTAAATGTAATGTTATTTAATGAGTTAAAATAAGGAATAAACTAGGCTAGAAATACAGTATTATTAGACCAATGATAAATTACCGCAAGTATTATTTAAAATCGAGACTTTACCTTTTTGCCAAATTTAGCAGCCAAATTTTCAAGATGTTCTAATCTATAGGTATGGGAGAATTTAGCTCTACTTAGTTGCGATGCAATCTCAACGATAAAAATTTAATTATGATAACGTATCATAAATCTTAAAGCATTCATGGATAGAAGGTGTTACCTTTGCATTTCTTGGCGCAAAGCGATTTCACGTCCATGTTCAACTTTTTCAAGCTTTTCCCAAGCCCGATTTATATCAGAAATAAATTTGCCTTCGTTGGGAGTAAACACCTTTTGATTGTTAGCTCGTAGCTTGGTCTGAATGTTAAAAAATAATACTTCCAAATTGCTTCTTTCGCTTAGCCTAAAATTATCAAAGGTAACATTAATAAAGGAGCAACGCATGATTAAGCCGAGAGAAAATTGAAGGATTATAATCATATTCGGGAAGTCTGTTCTCAGCACAATCTCCAAAAAATTAGCAAACTTGATCTATTGACTAAACCAAGCTTACTGAGCCAACAACTTTATAAAGTAATCAACTATCTAATAAAATCATTTTAAGATATGATAGGAATTATTCGTACTAGTGATAAAATCGAAGTAAAATCTGCTGTTACTGGATACTCCATGGCTCGTCATTAACGAATTGATTTGCAAGCTTTAAATAAGTAATTTAATGCTATAACGACTAACTTTCTATATGCCCATTGGATAATCTGTTTACTCTCATTACTGGATAGTTAGAATAGGGCAACACTAATTAGTATTATGATACTGCAATATTAAATCTTACTTTGGTGGCTTTTCCGTTGTACGATATTGGTTAAATTTTATCATCTCCTTCTTAATCCGTTCGATAGTATTGGGAAAATTTCTTTCAGAGAGCGTTTCGATGGTTTTGGAGATCCATTTTAATAAATCATCAATGGACATGTAGTAATCTTTGACCATTTTCTCTACTTCCATAATCAAGCCAATAATCTAAGAAAGCAAAGAAATGTTCCTAATTTAGATTTATCCATGCCTAAAAGGTCTGTAGCAAACTGTAAAAGCAACGTGGATAATGAATAGACTTACCTTGCCAATCCTTTTACCACCCGTTTTCTCAGTTCGCATTTTAGCAAAGTATTGGTAGTAAGCAATCAAATAGGTCATAATGGATTTTTCATCAGGCCTAACTACATCCACATCTAGCCAATATAAGATCATAGATTTGGTTAATAACACAGGAGAACGTACAGAAAAATGGAATTTCAGATTTTGTAGGCCATCATTTCTACCTTCTGGATCCAATAATGGATGAATGCCTAGATCTTTTTCAGCGACACGGAAAGCATTTTCTAAGTTGTCCAAATGTTTTTCCGGCGGTAATGATCGAAAATCGATTAAATCAGGCCTAATGGCATACATAATACGTAGAGTTAGCAATGTTGAGACGAGATTTATTTGTTGATACTAAGTGATAGGTCTAAAATCTCCTATCCTGAAATTAGTTTTGGTCGTACCTGAAATGATGGATTAAGGCATTAAAAGCCAAACCATTGCTCCAACTAGAAGTGAAATTCTTAACGTTGACACCGGGATAACTACAAATTGCCAATATCCATCACAAATGGGTTTAGACATTGATCGACAAGAAGAATAAATACTAGGACTTAATATTAGGCGAAAAAATATCAATTACCCTGTAGTATTTCGTTGGCACCATAATAGCAAAGCTTCTTTAGCAGAACGTTGTTCAGCGCTTTCATCATCTAATTGAACTTCTTGGATTTGAAAACGCAATATAATTGTCCAAATCAATCCTAAAACTAAGCGTGGATTGCCATCCACAATGTCTTCAGCGCCAATACTTTCCAACTTAACCTAATCGATTCAACGATATGGCTGTATTTAAAAATTAATCTTACACATGTGGATCATTTGCTTTCTGAATGAGAAAATAGCACTACGAAAGTACACTTGGCTATTACTCATTTTTATAATCTTACCATGGTTCGAATATAGCTCAATACTTTGCTGACATTTTCCATTTTTTGCACTCTTAAACGGCCAGAATCTAATGTAGGATTGATAAGAATGAAAAAGCAACATTGTAGTCAAATCCAATTCGTGCTCGTTTATCCTAATGTCTAGTCCTACTTACTCATTCTACCCAAGGAATTGCCGGTAATATCCTCCAAAAGGCGGTGAAGAGCTTTTCCATCGCCCAAATCTTCAAACAGATCTCCAATCTTGAAAGGAGTCTAATATTGTCAATAAATAATTAAAACATGGTTTAAATCTTCATCTTGACGGTTATTGAATTGGAGTTGATCAGGTTCAAAATTGCCATCTTCATTCTAACGGAAGAGAGCCGATATAAATTGGCAAAGTGTAACATTGCCATCATTTTTTTGGAGTTCTATTGGAGTTTGCTACAGTTATTAACCCTTCAATAATTCCTACGCAGAAGTACGGAATTTTTTAACTGAAAATTGCCCTTTCTCCTTCTTTCTCGAAGAGGAAATGGCCTTCCTCCATGAAATCGGTGCCATTCTTAAGCGAATCGATATTTATTAGCAAAGCATAAAATTGTCATCTCCTTTCTAACGGTTAATCATTTACGGAGTAAACTTATTACGAGAGTCGATATTTATTGGCAAAACAAATAATTGCCATCTACTTTTCTAATGGCTATCCATATCGAACTATAGCTATTGACCGAATGGATAGTTATTGGCAAAGTGTAAAATTACCGTCTGCTTTCTAATGGTTATTCATTTCGGACTACAGTCATTGTGCGAATAGATATTTATTAGTAAAGTGTAAGATTGCTATCTTCATTCGAAGAACTGTCAACATCGGAACGAACTACAGCTATGGAGAGAATCGAGATTTACTGGCAAGGTGTAGAGGAATAAATGCACCATCTACCGATGCCAACCAAAATAAATCAAAATTGAAGTTGACTCTCTTCATTCTAATGACCATCCAATATCGGAACGAATTTATCCAGAATCCAATATTATTAGCTAAGGTAAATGAAATACCTGTTCTAAAAAGGAGTTCATCCATTTTGTGAAAGTCTTCTTTTGGATGTTGATACGCTCTTGCTGCAACTCTTGGATCCGACTGGAACCAAAGTATGGCTTCAGTTCGTCAGGATCTTGATATTCTACTTAATAAGAATGAAATTACGTTTAAACTTGGACCTTATAACTTGGATTGCATAACATAAATAATCAATGCAGTCTTGCAATAATCTTGCATCGTATTGATGCTTAGGAAAGTGATAGAATCATTACTCAACAGAGTATGATATTAAGGGAGTGAAATCATTTTGACAAATCCTCTACTACGGCATGTTTACTAATTCTTCAGATTTTTCGATGGCAAAATGTATAGAAATTATAGCTGTGTGCCTTAACTATTCTTGCATAGACACGTTACATATATGCGAAAAATCCAGCCCTTCAGCTTCATGTAGAAATAAAGTATGGTATTTCTACGTTAGTTTAAGTCCTTGTTTTTCTCTTTTGCTATATCTCAACATCGATGTGAAGGATAGTACGATAAATAGACAAAAAATGGAATCACCGATATCAGAAATAATCAAGTTTTAGCTTGATACAAAAGTATAAGCTCAACTGCGTATAATCGAATTACAATGTTGTCATCATCGTTATAGTAGCCCAAAAAGATTTATTCAATTTTTAATTTGCGATGTCATGTTTATTTCAACTTCAATGAATCTCTATGTAACTACAAGTTAATTATACGAAAGAGAATAATCGATCTCATTATCCACAATATAGCCACTATTAAAGTATCCTACATCGTCTGGAAAGTAGGGGTCAGAAAATCGAAGATGCTACTTTGAATTTCATGGAAGCTTAACACTTTTAAACTTTAATGTAAAAATGAATAAATGAAATTCGGTCATTCTCTATGACAGAGCTTGATGATCTACCAATATTAAGAACGGTAGCGTGACAATTTCTATTCCTAATATGTCAATATTATTTTAATCTAATTGCAAGGATATCGAATTTATAAACTAGAATAGAGGAAATGATTAGTCTAGCGAAATTAAAGCTGGTCCATTTTCTATATAGTTCACTAGGATACAACATGTGCATAAGAAAACTGAAGAAAATCCAATGCAATTCATCTACAAGTAAATCTTCCACTAGAAATGCTAATACAGCTTTCACCACTACAAGAAACTAGTCAAAACGGCAAAAAAAGGAAGAAATCCAATTCTATCCACCATCAACTAAACCTACGACTGGAAATATTAATCTATCACGACAACGAACCAATATATGAGTAGTCACTAAAGGAGATGAATTCAATTGGATCTACCAACCAATAAATCTACCTAATTCTAGTTTTATAGCACTCTAGCCTCATTGGTAAAGTACTACATCATCAACAAGCACTATTTTACCGCCAATGGATGATAAAATTAGATTATTAGATCCAAGTGGCGCAGTTAAATGGTAAACATAGAAGCTTTGATAGAGAAAGGATAGCGTTCAAAATATCGGATGTGATCTCATCAGGTAGGAAAACAAATACGATATTCCTTTTCATGTCATTTCCTCACACTAGAATAGTTTATTATGGCAACGATCGGCTCTAATGATGTCGATCAGTTAAAAGAGAGATCAGTAAGATTAAAGTAGCCATTAAAAACAAGTTAGACAGTATTAGAACTGCATCAAATAATGAATTATTTTGCTCTAAAATGGGCGTCCTTAGTTGTCAATTCCGCATACAAATTCTGATCGAATGATCGAAGAATGAAATAGAGATGGAATGGGTTCAAAGACGATGTTGATAATTAGTCAGAAAGCCCAAAACGGTTAAAATAACGCAATATGCCGTATTTATGGATAGGTAGTCCATTAATAATCGCTTCTTGCTATTATTCAAGCTATCTAAAGTACTCTACTGCTAGTATAGTGAATGAAAATGGCGTTAAACAGGCATCAAAGATGCTTACGCTAGAATATTGATGAATACTACATCATTCCATAAGTGATTTAAAAGAAGTGTTGAATATTTGTTGATGACGAGCACTCCACTATTCTTGTCGTCATGCAAGTTGTTCATGATCTTCCATAATCGATCAAGATCACTAGAGATAATGATAATTATAACTTACCTCGAACCATAATGACGCTTGATAGGATTGCTAACTTTAAGAACCAGACTGGCCTTGTAGGTTAGGATATCTATAGACTTGAAATTTCAAAGTTTGCAATAGGTTAATTGCAATATATCAAGTAAAGTTATTTTATATTGCTTTCTCAAGAATAAAATGTCCACATTATTAGCGAAAGAGGTAAATCATGATCGACCAAGAGAGAAGAAAAATTTGTTGACGTTTAGAAGCGTTACTATTTCTACTAAACTATCCTAACTTTAATGACAGCTATGGACTAGGTTAAGATACTTTATTATGATACAAATGGAACAGTGAAATGGAGAAAAAATTCAGAATTAACCCCCTACACTAGGACATTTGTCTATCTTACCTTGAAGTCTATCTTCAAGTCAAGCTTATCGTTGTGAATCAATTGGGTATAATTTCAAACTAATTCAAAATTGCTAATGATGGTGCAAGACTGTTAGTAAATCATCAAGCAAGACCACTAATACAAGACAGAATTATCCTTACCGCGTTATATGGTCTACGATGGCTAATGAACTCGTATTAAGTCTTCTTAAACTGGAGGTCCCTATTTAATTGGATAGAAAAAATGTTGGAATAATTAAGCAAAGAGTACGCTGAAAGAGACGCTAATAACCGTCATTACTAATGCAGTTGTTTTGTTCCAAGCAACAATACTTGTGTCAATAATAAACGAAACCAATGAACTAATCATTGGCCATCATTGATGGCGATTTAAAATGTATGAATAATCTTTATTGTTACTTTTGAAAAGTCTTTCTCAATCTATAGACCAATAAATTATGGTTGCTAACAGGATAGGAGTGGTCTTGTGGAGGAAATCCAAGTCACAGACAGAAGGATTAATACTTCAATAAGTCAACATGACTTCAAACATTTATCAAATATTGTCTACTTACTTACGAGGATTGACTGATGTCATAGGTTGCAGTCTTTCTACATTTTAGGTTAAAAATCGCCATTTTGTAACTTTAACAGATAAAGATGGACTAATATCAGATGTATAACATACTTTCTAGGATTCACGAATACCATACACTGTAGTCATCCATCTTTCTATACTTTCAATCTCCATTTTGTAACGGTATAGTAATATACTTCTATCTATTTCAAAAAGAATATACCGGTCTTCGCTAGGAATTCAAGTTACACACAGATCGATGCGAGGAATAAGATTGATGAGTATCTTGTTATGATATGCTTTCTAGAATTGACTAATATCATACACGGTAGTCATCTGTCTTTCCATATTAACAATCGCCATTTTGTAAATTTGACTAAGAAAGATGCAACCGATACTATTTCTATCTCAAAATAAAGTACTAGTCTTCTCTGAGGATCCTAGTCACAAATGGATAGATTAGAGACACTTTCTAGGATTGACTAATTTCATACGTTGTAATTATTAATCTTTCTATCTTAACCATCTCCATTTTATAACTATAAGTGAGAAAGATAAAACCAATGTTATTTCTATCTCAATAGAAAGAACAGATCTTCTGCGGGAATCTGAGTCTGAGATAGATAGATTTAGAGAAATAGGATTGACTAATATTACTCCAAGAATATATTTTCTGCAATTGACAAATTAACATACCTATAATATGCTATCTAGCATTTTAATAATATCATACGATACTATCATTCATCTTTCTATGGTAACAATTTCTATTCTATAACTCTAATTGAGAAAGATGTAACCAACATTATTTCGTTCTTAAAAGAAAGTATAGGTCTTCCGCAGGAAATTCAAGTCACAGATAGATCGATGAGCGATATAGGGTTGACTAATATCATAAGCTCTAGTCATTCATCTTTCTATGTCAACAATCTCCATTTGTAAGTATAAATGAAACAGATGCAACCAATATTATTTCTATTTCACGAGAAAGCATTGATCTTTCCGAGGAATCCAAGCCACAGACGACTAGATTAGAGGAATAGGATTGATTAATATCCTGTAAATAATAGACTTTCTGGGATCGACTAATAGTACACAAATAATCTACTCTCTGCGATTGACTAATAATAACACACAAATAATATGCTTTCTAGGATTGACTAATATTATACGCTAGAGTCATTAATCTTTCTATGTTAAATGAACAGGGTAAATAACTTGAACTTACGATGATATTATATGTATCAGCTCAATACTTATTTTTTGCCTAGTCTTCTTACACAACGCTAAGTATAATCATTTGTCATAGATAGATTGATTGATTGTAAACTTTGACATAGAATATTATGTTCATTATCTTCTTGAGAGTGTATGATACTATTTTAAAACCTAATATTGATTTGATACTCTTGAGATTAATTAATATTGCCAAGTGGATTGTTTTACCTCCAAAACTTGGCCATTTTTTAACAGATGGCCGTGGCTCATTTCATGCATTGTACAATATGATTAATTGGATAGATTGGCCGGCCATTCTGTGTTTGTGTAACACTTTCTATCCTCTAAAATTTGTTTATATTGAGTTTGTAACAGAAGCTAGATTAAATTAGGTCATTTAAAGCTGAGATTGCTTAAACTGTATACACGATACAGAATCATAAAGTGGTTCAATCTCATTCACATTTCCTTTCGATGCTTTATGAATCTTGTTCGCCGCAGGACCCTCAGTACTTTTCCAGTAGAACAGCTTCAACTCTCCTTTAATATGCTTCCACTGTGACTGTCAAGAAATAAGTCATAGTTAATAGTAAATAGTTTAAATTATTATTCTTCTTGAAACTATTTTGCGACTTGTCTAATTGGAAATGAATAGAACCTTTATTCCTATTCTTAATATTGTTGAACTCAGGTAGCGCCAGCAATCTATACCTGATCCTTGCAGAATCTCAATAAACTCATCGATCTGCCATAGAATAGTAATCCCTGAGGCTGTTAGTAACGCCTAAGCAAATTTTCTTAATCCAGCCTTTGACAAAGACGAACTAAGAATTGAAACAGCCATGAATTTAATCTACTCTATCCAATAACTTATTGACAGAAGCAATGATAAATGATCAAGTATGATCAGAATTTATAAATCAAACTTACAATTTCCTTTCGGAGAATAAGTTTAATTAATTTTTTAATAATTTATGCACTATCACAATCGTACAGTTTTCTCCTATCATTAATATACTGACAAACGAGTAATGGTTCTATAGTTTATAGCTATTTTCATTAGATTGAATAGCAATAAGTAATGTTTTCAAAGTAAATAGCCTTAAGTAAAGCCACTCAGTATGTGGCCAGTGACAACGGTAGCACTCTTCTTTTTCTTAATTAAAACTTTCTGCCGCTTTTATAACAATAGATTTATAAATCCAAATAGAAGGTGTAGGAAAATAGGTTCTAAGAGTAAGGCCACGATTATCATGTCCAAGAAGGCGACATTCTTATTAGCAGTGTAAGAATATTACAGTTAGGCGTTGGGATAGTTGAGTGCTGTCAGGAGAGAGTTTAATTTGAGATCTAGATGTGACATTGCAATTTAGAACTCTACCTAACATTCGATTCTCTATTCTCATTTGTCCATTTATACAGTATATTGGAAAGACTCAAGCAAATAAGTGATGGTAAATGGCAGAAAACCTAATAACACTAAAACTAGCTTGATATATCAAGTTAGAACCCAACCTTGATATTGAATTCTCTTTTCTCTTTGATCCATCTATATTTGGAAAGATTGATGTAAATGAGATATGACAAATGACAAAAAATTACTAATGTTAAAACTAATTTGATATAGCAAGTTAGAATCTTACCTTAATATTCGATTCTTTTTTCTCATTTGGCCATTTATACGTATATATCGAAAGATGAATATAAATAAGAGACAGTAGATAGTAGGCCAAGCTTTGTAAAATATAAATCAAATTAGCTATAAAACTCTTCCATTGATAAACTCGCAGGTGCGGATATTTGGTTTAAGTAATCTCTTAGAAACCACTCTGTCATTCGTTGCTTGATTTATTATCTTGAAGATGATTAATAACCCAATAAAACGTTTTTAGCAAAGTTAGGATGTTAAAATAAATTGGAAATGTTTAACCAGCCATATAGGTATGACACTATGACTTGCTCATTGATTTATTATATTAAAGTTGGCCAATAATCCAATAAGTTACTTCCAGTAAAGTCAAGATGTTAAAGTAAAATATTTCGCCTTCTTAACTAATTATAATTCTAATTGTAAACTTGACAAGAGGAAGTTGTTATCACAGATATACCGAGCAATTAATCCCATCATCACTCTGTAACAACTAGCCTTAGTTAAAATCGTACAGATCTTTTTATGAACTAAAATTGGATAATATGCAAACTGATTATTAAATGAGCAATATTGTTAAAGTAGTATTGATATTCAGCATTTTACTAATTAAGTATGTTTCAGCTCATTCTCATACGACGGAATAGTGTGAGTCTTTAAAAATTTGAAAGTTGTAATCCCTTATGCTATCATTTGGAAAGGACTACTAGAAAAAAATCTATTTTTCTAGTAGTTGGCTATGCATACCAATAAAATTGGACGAAAATAAACCTTATGTCTCTTTAAGTGTAAAAAAAACATAATAAATGGCTGGACGATTTGTTATAGAACGCCTACGGTTCAGAACATATCAGATAATAACAAATAGAGGACTTTTTATACTACTGCAGCTAAACAGTTGTGATTAATAAGGATCAGCTGATCTCACCTTCATTTATTGATCTTATAAAGAATATAGTGTAACGACAAATAAATCATTAATATTCAATTAGGATGGTGTTTAATATAAAAGATAAGATGACTATTTACTTTACTACTTGAGTTTCAAAGGCAGGTTAAAAGATAATCCCGTTCAATTTAATCAATACTAAATAGACACAATGAAATAGTGTGAGTTAATTCCGATATGGCAAAATGGCATATATCAAATTCGTGCTAATTAGAAGAGGATACGACGCAATAGTGGAAATGCCAGTTTAATAATGATAGCATATTAGACTATTAATTTGCTAGCATGCAAAAGTCGCTCTTATAGTATAGATGAATGCAGCCCTTTGGATACTAACTGTAAACAACAGTAAGCAAGATATCCCAAAATAAGAGTAGATTAACTACCGAAAAGATCAAACACGGTACTTAAACCTAAATATATCTTATTAAGGAACAACTAAAATTATTGATCTAATATAAAATCGAACGATAATACATTTTGCTTTTCTTATCATTCTAACTAAACATGAAATTCTGATCAGCGTTTAATTAAAGATGGTATATTTATAATCCAATTTCGGCTACGCTGATCTACTTTTTGACGCACATCTATCATGTTAACATACGGTATAGCAATACTTACAAATAAATTGAACATAGAAAAGTTAAATTTCTAATTAGACACGACCTTATTTCGAAAGTACGATAAACCGTACAATACGCAAAGATGAGGACAATCATTTATCGTATGCATAACAATCCAAATTTTACTTACTAACGGAAAGGGCTCATAACCGTATATTAAGAAAGAAACAGGGAAAGAATTGATTTAATACTAGAAACAATCCTTGCATATTTACTATCAACTGGCATGATGCGCTACAACTGCTCGCTATTGCATAAGGCTACAGATTAGTTCTTTATTACGCATAATACTTATATAATTAATTAGATTAGAAGTTACATAAAATTTTTTACGGAGTAAGATATTTATTAACTAATCTTATGCATACGTTAAATTTTAGCGTTAGTAGAAGTAGACCGAAAAAAACAAATTGAACTATAGGATCTTCGTAAAGATTACAAGTACTTCAGAATTGGTTCATTTTCTTTTTTCCAATCATCTATCATGTCCAAAGGTATTAGTTACTAATGCAGTTACAGTATTTTCAGCAACTAATCGCCATATCTTGCATAAAGGTTGCATATATTACAATCGAACATCATACTAATTTATGCTAAAGTAATAAATGGCATGTATACCCATACATGCCCTTTCTACGAATGTCTTCTTATATTCGCAGTGAACTAAGAATAAATAAAATAGGTTATAAATAGCAGGATCCAAGATATGCACAATTTATGCGGAATGAATATCTGCTTTAGCCCGTTTAAAAAGTGAATGGTAAAGTTATGGTAATCACTAAGATAATCTAGAAATTGCATCATGTTGGTAGTGTCATTAATGCTAACAATGGGACTTTAAACTACTCCTATTTTATTATCGAATGGGAAACTTTACAAACTTCACCGTTTACTTATCACAATTTAATACAACTAGCATTTGATAAGTAATTTCAATTGTAAATGGGAGCACAATCATCTTTGGCCAAATCAGCAGATTAAGCTCTTTTATGGCTAACGCAAAATTCCGTCAATCTTTGACATATATTCAGCATCGTTTCATAAGGCGGCGTCAGTGAAATTCTAACAAAGTTTGGACAACCTAATGGCTAAATTGATAATAATAAAAATACTTAAGAAACAAATGATTACAGATCTAGAAATCAACGTCATGTTGGATTACATTTAATAGCTATTAAATAGAGTCATATTCCTTGAAGTAGCAATATTCGTTCAGTTAAAACTTTTCTATTCTTAACGAGACAATATAGATTTAAGGCCAGCTTGCTAATATCTTCAACTTACTGAGCAAGGCATCACTGTCATAGCTTGTTCTTTGATGAGTAACAATGACCAGGTTTCATCATCATCGATATCATTAAATTTTTCAACATCAATACCAACCTACGCATACATTTACATAAAATAAAGCCAAAATACAGAGTAAAGTGAGCAATCTTCAGTTACCAGCTTATCGACAAGTTGCATTTTATGATCACTATTACATTTTTATATAGACAGTACAGTACACTAAGACAGATACATTACCATCATATACATGGATCCACCAGGCATTATGGGTTTTATACCATCAATTTTAATTAATTCGTCATATAATAGATTAGCATTTTTCTATAGGAGAAAGGATATCGATTAAATAAATACCACTCATGTTGAAACATGCAAACGAGTGTACGAAGGCAATAGCAATTTAACCTTAACAAGAGATATTGTTTTCTTAAAATAATCGCCAGTTACTCGGACAAGTAACGACGGTAAAAGAATTTGAATTATTGAACAACAAGAATAAAAATCTTCTAGTAGTGACTCAATACCAGGAATGACCTATTAGAAGCAACATGAATCAATCTTTATGTCCTTTCAGTACAAATTTTTAAGCGTGTAATGAACAAGCATAAATCAGTAATAGCTGCATACTTCTTTAGCAAGGATGCCATTCCTGTCATGAACAACTAGCCAACCACATCTCCATCCTGGCACGTTAAATCTAATTTAAAAATTTTATATTATTTTCTTGTGTACTGCATATAATATATGTGAGGACTACGAGCATAAGATACAGTTTCTTATCAATAATAATGCAAAATTTTATTTTATTGTCGTCCAAAAAATTCTCTTATGATCAGGTTATAATAAACTTTCCAGTATTCACAAGCATGATATGTGAGTAGATACCTTTTCGCTAAACCTGTGCATGTTAGAATAGGAACGCTTTTGGAAACTGCACCAAGAGGATAAAACTGATTTTCTGGAAATGACTGACGAAGCGATAAATTGGTTTAGAATTGTCCTATCGATTGCTGTACCCTGTAATCTGTTACTAATTACTATACGCTCTACATTAGCTGTGAGGACAATTGCCATTATTAATGAGCTATACACTCGTAAAGTTATTTACTGTCTTCATGTGCGAGTATAACTTAAACCTTGCATGAAGTATATATTTTCTTACAATGTATTCATAGATTTCGTCAGCAAGTATAGGTATCCGATGTTTCTCCGCCACTATATCATTTTGAGTAATTTTGAACACATTAAGATAAAAATGTATTAAAGAAAAGTGATTCCTCGACCTTTAACAATTTATGTTGGCATATTGACTAAAGCTAAATATTGTACCTTTAATAATATCTTCAAGATGATCCTTAGAGTAGACAGAGCCGCATGGGTTAGACGGATTGACAACAACAATAAGCTTTGTTCGATCATCAATTAACGACTCTAGATGGTCTAAATCGACATTCCATGATTGTTCTGGCTAAAATAATGTATTTGATAATAATTAAAATATCTTGATAGCAGCATTGTGCTACGGCTTTTAATAAAATATCTTTTACTATTGGTGCATTTCCTAATTGCTGACATGATAAGAAGGAATAAGTGATAGTTTTGTGATTGATAACTTTGATCAGTCTATCAATTTTAAGCATGCAGAGTCATTGATGCTAATAGATTAAATTGTTTCTGGAGCGATGTAGCAATTAAAGTTAGAACTGCATCTTCACAATGTAATAAAAGTTCTACTGTAAGTTTATAGCAGAACAGATACCAATGTTAGCGTAATAAATTTTTATCAACATCTAAATTAGATTTTGTATGTGGATCAATTTAAATTAATCACATGTATTAATCCGAGTATCACAGTATTAAGTATTACCAGTAGTCTATATTCTCTAATTTCTACATCACGATGTCTGGAAAGTACACCATAAAGCGTGAAACCAGGGCACGGGATTAATATGTTATCATTGGCATCGCTTAAAACACGCAAAGCTATTTCAATAGCACTTGAACACCCAGAAGTTATGTACACATTCTAAATCAAAATAATACAGTACTATTAAATAAGGTGGGTCACTAAATAATGGCTCCAAAATCTCTAGACTAGACAGAGCACAAATGTGCAACTATTTTCCAATCAAACACAAGCACAGTTTTAGCTATGACGTAATAGAGCTCTATGGTAATTATATACAGTAGCAAGTTATTGCCAACACACGCGCTCAAAGAACGGGATACTGGCATAAAACACGCGTATAGCAGAATGGGTCCTTATAATGTAATAAATTATAACAGCATTTATGGGACTATTCTATATTGATTACCTTCGACGAAACTTCCAATTCCCCAGGTATAGATGCATACTTAGCAATAGCTTCTCTAGCAAATTGAAATCCTATAATTATCGATTATAAGGTTGTCAATATATACTGGTCCATATCTATGAATTAAGATTTCCGATTTAATGTCTATTTGTAAAAAATATTCCTAAATATTCCAGATTAACTGCTCAATAATAGTTTATAAGAATTTCTTGCGTATATTTGCAATACAGCAGTATATTTTATAAAGCGAACACAGCTAGTAGAACTGTCAATAATTGGGATGACATAATGTGTATCTAACCTCCAGGTGGGGGATTTGTGAAAGCATTTTTATCTTTAAGAGTCTTGCTTATGCTCTCCTCGACGCATGATGGCGGTAATAAATTACCAAATAGCGTAGGATCACCTTTAAAATTAATTGATATATCGTAATGGTGATTCTATTAAGAGATACTGCGGGCTTTGAAAATCTCTTACGAATTATAAACAGTGACCGAAAGTATTGCCATTTTATGGTATACATGACGAATATTACGTTTAGCAAATCAACATATTGAATTCTTTTACTGACCTACTGAGACGCTAATCATAGGTTTATCACATTCAGCAACTGCATCTATATGCTTCATAAATGCAGTAACCAACGGGTTGTAGGTTTTGCGAGCGAAATCAGAAGCAGGAACTTGCCAATGGGTTTTCTTTAAAGTCGGCATCTTACTGCAGGAATCCATAATTTAGCTAAATAAAGTTAAAATTGATCATCATCCGATAATGACAATAGTTTCATTTTTGTTACAAATTCCATTCTCCTATGGCAGACGATCTGTTTGCATTAAGACATTAATGCGTAGTATAAAACTTCCTACATGTGCATGTGTATTCAGATCGTCAGTTAGCAAACTCGACCGAATATAATGATGGATCACTTGCAAATACTATTAGTAAAGTATTGCAGGTGAGAAGTTTAAGTCAATATAATGTATAATAACATAATCATTAATATATAAACTATTGTACATTCAATGCACAGTACTGAACTACATGCGTACACAGCATATAATGTTTACGCCCTAAAGACATGTTTACTTTAATTTATTCTTCTCACAGTTGATTTCTTGCCGCTCATGTAAAAGTGCCTTACACTGCATTTGCCTAATATACTATGCAATATTGCATTTATTGCTAACTTGAAACATACTGCAAGCGATTGATTAAAAGGGGAAGAAAATTTTTCACCATGAATGTTTTAGTAGAATCATTTTCATGTCAGCAGATCTCTGACAGTCCATCACTATCTGTTTTAATCTTACTACAAATTGGCATCTTTGCTACTTTAATGTACGTGTACGATGCTTACCGATCTCATTCACAATTAATAGTAAATTAAGAATGTGCAAAAGATCTGTTTTAGAGTCAGGTAAAACAAAAGCGATTATTCAGCTGAGATCAGTACTCCGTAAGGAACGCGTGCTATTGAATTCAGGAATAATTAAGTAATGTAGTCATTAAATTTGCAATATTTGCATCTCAGGCCATCATTCACCTATGGAATATGCTACGCTATTTGCATAGGAAAAAACAATTCTAGCAAAGTATGGTGATTCTATATACACTTACACAGTATGTCATCCTATTTTAATCAATCAAGCAATACGCTTGATGTCAATGCGCGACTGAAATTTACGTAAAGCATACGATCAAACTGGGATAATCTAATAGAAGCTATCTACGTGTAGAGAAGAGATTTTAGCCAATTTACCGGCGTGGATAAATATTCGTATGTACAGTGCAGTTATGATAAGAATTCGATTTGTCAGTGATAGCCTGGTTGTTGACTGCCTCTACACGGCATATCGGAGAAGAAAATTCAAGTGAAAGCTGCCAATCAGTTCATTGCAAAGAAATGTTGATCGTATATGGTTTGATATTTATAATGGAAAGGTGGAAAGTTGGTATGATTATAAGCAACACGGGATTAAGCTTTCATTAGCTAGCGTGTTTGTGCAAGTACTGTAGTTTCATTTTTAATCCGCAGTCTGTCGCGTTAAGCATGAAACTGTGGTGTTAACACAAGGAATAAGTAGATCCATATCGATAAAATCAATTTATATAGTTTTATCTAAGCCCTTGAACAAGCATAATACTGTATCATGGGATCAACATTCCCGGCCATTGCAAGAGTTTGTGATCCTACTGGACCAAGAGTTGATATGATGTTATAACTAGTTCATGGTTGGAGAGAATGACAACCATGAAGCATTTTGTTCCTCCAAGTTCATTGACGAATTGTAATTCGTCAATGCATCAATCCGAGAACTTTTAGGTTCATGGCGATTGCCAGTTAGCAAGGTATTCATTAAATCGTCGTCTTTTGTACGTGGCGATGGATAAAGCGATCACACGATAAGCTCTTCTACTGTATATAGCTATCGATGATGATGATAAGGTCAAGATGTGAAACGGATACTTGCCAACAGCTCGATATGATGAGATATCGACATTATTATCGTGATTGTAGTTGATAGGAGTTGTAACATAAAGTACGATAGTACTAGAAACCGGCATAGTCTGTCGTGCTAAGTCATCGTGGATGATGGCTGGTAGGATGAAAGGTGTCACCTTGGCCATTTGCTCCATTTTAAGAATGCAAACTTTGGAATTGATCGATTGTGAGCCTAAAGGGTTATAAAAAGCCATTGGCTACAATCCTAATGTCTCTTGAACTTATCGACGCATCCATCATTGCTCGAAAGATAGATGATTATACGTTATCGACACGATGATCGTAAGCCGCCTTGTTTACACTGCTGTCGATCAGATTTGAGTAGTTCTGCCTTAAGAAATGAATCGTCCTTATTCAATAGTTTACCTTTCTATCTGTAATGTTGGATTGCAATGGATGCCCACCAATGTTGCAATCAGCAGCCTTTAAGCTTGAAAGCGTTGGCGTTGCAAGCTACCTGGAGTGGGAAATCAATATTGCCTTCAAGACTAAAAGGGGTTGGACAAAACAAAGCTCTTGCTCCTCGATTGCATCATCTTGGAGCAGAACTTGTTCCGCTTTACAGTATAGTAGGTTGCAGTAGGAGAAAGAATCGCCTATGACAGTATCAACATGATGGCTGTTTCGAGACACAACTCGATCACCAATGGGCGTTACGTAATACTTTGCAACTCTATGCAATCATAAATGGAAATCGTCAACGAATGATTTACAAGCCCATACTATCGACCGTGATAGAGGTATGATGAATGGATTGCAGTCGAGGAAAGAGTACCAAATTAGCCACTGCCCTCACTACGGAAGATGTTATTCATCTTATTAAAATTAATTGATCATAGCAACTTATTTTGTACTGAGCATGCTGGCCAATCACAGACAACAACATGGAAATGATCCAATGTCCTACGAAGAGCGATCACCACCGATTCATTCAATCATGTTGGGAAGCTATTTGCAAGAATGCAAAATTCCATCTCAGTATGAAAATGTTGACAAGACAGTCATGACAATCGATCATATTGATGCTGGTGCAGATTGATGTCGAGAAGGAGACCAACTTGACTTTGAATCCATCATTGATGGATTTCTAGACTGTCAACATTGGCCGGGCTCCACTTTGCCGATCGTTGACGAACTGAGCTGGGTACACCATTTCGTATTGAGTATGGCGTAGTCTATTGGTGAGACAACGTTGTTGACATGTCATTCCGGTGTCATGAGCCAAGAGTCAGTATTTATACTTCAAAACAAAATGGCTCTTTTTACTGACTTGCACACTGCAGGTCTTTCATGTCGCTTTAAAACTAACGTGCAAAGACAGGAGTTTATACCGACATGGAGTATTTTGAACTGATTTTTTTGGAAATGGATCGATAGAATTACTGTATGTTTGGCGTAATATCCGTAATAAAATATTCATGTAAAGACAAAATTTGTTTTCCATTTTTGTGTATTTTAGAACATTTGTGATCCTAAATTCACTTTGCACACACATTTACTGCTCATTCAGTGAACTGTAGGAGTCAAAATGATTGTCGAGATAGGCATGCATTTCATTTCTACTTTGATGACAATATCTGATAGGAAAATAACATTGCTGAGTGGATACAAGACTCGGTTGTCGAGTGAGCACTTGAGCAGAAGCCCGCTCCACCTTCCATCTAGTTGTTCTAGCTGTCCTATAAACTTGATGTACAACATCTGATTCATTTGGATGGCACCGTCAAAAAAAAAATAAAATTAGGCCAGTTCAGTCAAGCCCAAACTAGGTCAATGTTTTATGCCGTTGTAGCCTAATAACTCAGCAATGCCGATTAGTGGAGTTATCCTTCTACGGGTACTGTATCAATAAATATTATTATTCTACAGCAACGGAATACCACATTGATTTATGAAGGAAGTGCAGCCATCGAAATTAAATCATCAGATTCGTATGATCAGAGTTGTGGGTGCAGTACTGTAAATCTAGACTGTACAGTACCATAGTCGAATTTTCATACTGTACACTGTACAGTATGGTACTGTAGATTGAGTCACATTTCAACGAAAAACGATCGCTTAGTGAAAAGAAGAGTGTCACTTAGTCAGGACTACAGTATGTACTGTACGGTATGTACTGTACTGTACAGTACAGTAAGTACTGTAGGATTGCAAAATCGGCGAAAATTGCATTTGGTATGCGATCCCATCCGGTCCGGTCCGGTTCAGTTCTTCTGACTCTACAGTACATGTGTCAGTAGGGTACAGCAGTGCTCCATACAAGCCTACAGTAGAGTACATGTAGTATCATTTTCAAATTGTACAGCACAGTGTACAGTGTGCAGTATCAGAATCTTCACTGCTCTTACAATACCTAGTACTGTATCTCGCTTCTCTTAGTAGTGGACAATACAGTACGGTCCCAGGCGTGCACGTGCTAGTGTACAGTACAGTACACTGTAGGCTACAGTAGCAACTACTCTAGCCATGCATACTGTACAGTAGTGTACATTGGAACTGCATCTGCGGTAGGTTGGCTTTTTTTCTTTCTTTTACCCTTCTACACTTGTTCTGTAGTAGTGTCTGGGATGCTTTTGCTTGGACACTGCAGGTGTTGGCTAGCACACGACTGTGTCATCGTGTGCTACTGTATCGCTGCAAGCCCGTGACGCGACAGCGCTTGACGCGTAGCGTTTCAACTTTGGGCTGTCGTACAGCAGAACACATGCAGTTGTGTCGCTTCGCCTCTCACCACAGCCAGTCTCATACTGTCCACTGTAGTCAATCGACACAGCCAGGCAATCAGTGACCATCCTCGCTAACCATGGATACCGCCAAAGAAAATGTCCATAACCTTCTCGTGGGTATTAATAGGTAATTATTGCCTCATCTTTGCTATCCTTGCAACCATTCTGTCTAGCCTAAACTGCAGTGGATTTCAATCCATTCAATGCAATATAAAATGATCATAACTTTCAAGAATTGACTACTATAGCGGTGGACCATGTCATCGCCAATGGCCGTCGTGTCCACATGCCCTCCCCAGTCATGGCTTTAGTCCATGTTGTCGACGGTAGTCTTATTAACGCTACTATCGTCAAGATGGTGGAAAGTATTTCTCTCTTATCAAGATGAACTTGCATGACAGCTAAAATCGATCGCTTCCATACCATCACCCAGGTGATCAATGGCTAGCAGCCTTTCC